GTGCGTGTGGGTGCACGTGTGCGTGCGTGCGTGTGTGTGTGTGTGTGTGTGTGTGTGTGTGTGTGTGTGTGTGTGTGTGTGTGTGTGTGTGTGTGTGTGTGTGTGTGTGTGTGTGTGTGTGTGTGTGTGTGTGTGTTACTGTTTTATTTCCATAATCTTTTCCGTTTCTTGGTAACTAAGGGAACTCAAATATTGAAATAACTTTCTCTTTAATATATATTTAGTAGTATTGTATATGTTAATTTTTTTGTTTATATGATTATATATTCTACCTGCACGGAAATATAAAAATTTTTGAGCAAACGTTGTCTTCACGGAGGTAGATCTACCCAAAGCATAATTTCTTCTACTCATTAAAATATTTTTACTTGTGTTTATACTTAATCTTGTATGTTGATAACGCGCAACATATAATAAGTAAAGCTGTCTAACTGTAAGAAATCCCGCATCTTTATATAATTGATCAGTAGGATATAGTTTAGTTTTAAATAGACATACTTTTAAAAGCATTCTTTGCGCTCTTTCCAACTCCAGCAGAATGTATTTGGGCGATCCGCCCCAAATTTTAATGCAGTATGTTAAAATAGATTCCACTAGTGCAAAATATATTATTTTCATAGTGCGTTTATCTGCAATACATCGGAGGTATTTAAACAGGTAAGTCAATTTTCTAATTTTTTGTGATACCATGTGTATATGATCATTAAATCTAAGCTTTCTGTCTATAATAACACCCAAGTATTTTATATTATCAACCATTGTGAGTGTTGGGCATGTACATTGAACATTAAAATCAAAAGAACAGTTATGAGCAATAAGGGGAAAAGCATCTAGATTACTTTGTTGATTTTTTATTGTATATATCATATACTTGGTTTTACCAGCATTCAGTGATAACTTGTTATGAGCAAGCCAAAGACAAACAGTCGTAAATCCATTTTGTGCTATATATTTAAGCTCTTCCCAAGTTTTTGCATAGAATGTTAGTGCAGTATCATCTGCATATGTGGTAACTCTACAATTCAATAAGTTAAGTTTACAGAGATCGTTTATGTAACAGAGAAAAAGTGTAGGTCCTAAAATACTCCCTTGTGGCACGCCGTAAATAACAGAAGCTTCATTACTAATTAACTCTCCAATTTTAACACATTGTGTTCTGTTAGTCAGGTAACTTGACAATAATGTAAGTGGAGTGCCACGTATGCCCAGAAGTTCCAATTTATTAAGGAGGTGAGGAACAGACACAGTATCGAAGGCCTTAGCAAGATCGATAAATATTGATAAACACTTCCTATTTTTATCCAAATGTTGTACCACAAATTCGGTCAAGGCTTGTACTGCATCATCAGTCGATCGACCAGAGCGAAAACCATACTGAGTATCAGCTAATAATTTATATTTTTCTAAATATTTCAAAAGTCTGGTATTAATGATACGTTCAAATATTTTTGAAAATGTATTGAGAATCGATATTGGACGATAGTCATTTACTTTAGACCTATCTCCTGCCTTAAATATTGGGAGAATAATGGATTTTTTAAGGGCTCTTGGAAATATACCCCTCTCTATGCATCTATTAAACAGATCTGCAAGAACAGGTGATATCAAGTCTGCAATTGACTTCAGTGCTTTCGCACTAATAAAATCCCAGCCAGGTGAACAGTCACTTTTTAATCCATTAATAATTTGCTCAACCTCTGTGCTGTCTGTAGGCAAAAGTATAAACGAATTTGAAGTCCCTGGCGAATTCTTTGACATAGATAGTGTTTGAGAAGATACATTTATAGGAATATTTTCAGCTAATCGTTTTCCTATATTGGCAAAGAAGTTATTTATCTCATTTATAGAGTTCGAAGTATTATCTGTCAAAAGTTCGTGTGGGACGGAATTTTGAGTATTAATATGAGTCACTGTTTTAATTGTATTCCATAACTTTTTTGAATTGTTTTTAGAATTTAATAGTTGATCGCGTTCATACTGTTTCTTTATTTTTTTTAACATATTATTACAATAATTTCGATAGCGGATATACGTTACTTTTAAAATGATATTGTTCGGTTCTGCTTTGATCTTTTTGTGCATTCCGTCCCTATTTTTTATGCAACGAAGTAAACCCTTTGTGATCCAGGGTTTAATTGTTATTTTTGTTCGTGGTACTTTAATACAAATCGTATTATTTAAAATTATTTTAGATAATGTATCAATAAATATATTCATAGCCATGTCCGGGTCCCTTTCCTTATATATAGTTGCAACATTCATTTTAGTAGTACATTCAGAATGAAACGATTTATAATCAAATTTGTGTATAGTTTTTTTGACAGATATGTTGCGTAAATAATAACTATAAATAAAACAAAGTAAAACAGCTTCATGATCAGTTATTGAAGTCTGTAGTGTAAAGGTATATGCTGGAGATTTTGTTTTTAGTATAACGTGATCTAAACAACTGTTAGTTCTAGTTGCATCATAACTGGTAGGCAATAGGCCATGATAAGACAAGGTATCGAGATAAGCAGATACAGTAGCATTTGTGTTGCGAATATTTATATTGATATCTTCCACTATTATTATATTAGAGTATAAAGTTAATGTAGAAAGCAGTTTATGTAAGGATTCTAGAAAGGTATCTATCTTTACAAAACTTGGTGGTCTATATATTGTAATTAAGATTGTACTCTTATTTATTCTATAATTAAACAATTTGCTTCTAGAAATTCAGGCTCAGTGACTTTACAAACAATGTGATTGCGAGTATAAACTACTACTCCATCATTTTGATTATACGATTTATTTGTTTTATATATTTTATACCCGTCTAAGTGAGGTATTTGAATTAAATGAGATAGCCAACATTCAGATAGTACAATTATATCACAATCAAAATTAAATCTTGTTAACATTACATTAAGGTTATTAAAATTACAGTTTATGCTACGAATATTTTGTTGTAGTATTTTTAAATATTTATTTGAATTATTTAAATAAGAGGTACAATTCTCTGGATCACAACTTATAGGTATCGAAAGATTAAAATTATCTATGGAGTTTAATAAATCAGGTAAACTATTGAATTTTAATTATGTATAATACACAGGAACAGTATTGAGGAGTTATAATTCTTCCTAATATATAACTTTGTTTTGCGGCAAAAGTAACACATAGTTTGCATTGCATTGTTTGCAATTGTTTAATCGATTGAAGCAAATTATCTTTGACCAAATCAGACGTGAACTCCACAATAATCGGTTTATTTTCTCCCGAACTTTGCATTCTAAATAGATTTTTGATATCAGTTTTTTCTATGGGAACCTGAGCAACCTTTCCTAACGTGAATATAACATCGGATAAAGAAGAAGCCGTTTCATTAACTAACACAGGGACGTTGCGAATTTCCATGGTTGAAGATCGACACCTTTTTTCTAATTTTTCTATCCTGCTTTCCAAAGATTTAATATATAATTTATTTTCCTTTTTTTCCTCTAAAAGCGTTTCGATCATAACTTTCATATCTTCGTACTGCTTGGATATAAATTCCATAGAAGTATGTATTTCAAGTTGCTTATCTGAAATTTTACAAAGAAATGTCTCCATTTTTTTCTCTTGTTTACTCTGCCATATCTTAAGCATTTCTTCCATTCTAGATAGCATAGACTCACAATCATCATTTTGCTTCCTTTTTAATGGGCGCATAGTTGAATGTTCAATTTCATTTAAGTTTGGAGTTGAGGAAGCATGTTTTTCTCTAAGAGATACTGATTTAGAATCATCCTTGGTCGGAGTTCTTTGCATTGACATCTTACAGGTATTCTATGTAGTTAATTATAGAAAAGATCCAAATAAATGCAGTAGTTCCAACAAAAATAAAAAACTGGAGGGTAGTGTAAGAAATTTACACACGTACAGGCCTATATTTAGGGCTATTTAATGTTCCAACAGCAAACTAAATATATCTGCGGTTAAACAATAGCACCTTCACCTTCAGTTACCTGCGGTAATTGCTTCAAACTGCCACGCCCCATAAAACTTGCTTAGGCGCAGGTGGGCGGGATCATAATTAGCCAATTCTCAAACAGCCACCGTAGCCAGTATTAAACATCAGCAGCAAAACATATAATAATTCGCTCACCCCTATGTCTCTGCTTCACTCAAATCCAAAGCTGATACTCCTATCACCTTATGAAAGCCTGTACCCACTGGATTTAATTGCAGTATTAAATTTATTTATTCATTAAAACACACTAAGTTAAACATATTAAGTTTAACACTGTAGAGTGCATGAATGGTCTTATTATCCACTGCGTCTACCTTTGCGAAGTTTTAAACTTCACTTATTACTATTATTACTGGCCATATTTTTATACTTATTTTCATAGACTTAGTCTACCATACTTTATAATTTAAGCTTATTTTCATCTTTTATTTTCAATTTCTGTTATTTTCTTATCATTTCCTTCCGATGTAGAAGAGATAAAAGAAATCTATACTATAAAGTACTAAGAACAATTGATTAAGTATTTTAATTATTTACCAGTTTCTCTTAAGTCTGCTTCATTATTATCTGTGGTTATAGCTAAGTTTTACTTATTTTTTTTCTTTTAATAAGACTAAGAACAAGGAATTACATAGAAGGAGTAATAAAATTGTCAATTCACAGCAGGCTAGTCTATAAAAAAATCTTATACGGTCGTATAACCCCACCAAATTCAGTTACAACCTGCTTGCATACTTTCTACATAAACTATGTCGAATATATAATCTAGTAATTTAAAATTTGTTATTGACAAATAATTGACATATCAAACATTTTCTATGCACTAGCTTGCTTTGAACTGACAAAATTAGCAACTGACGGTGTATCTTCCATCCTCTTTTAACTAATAATGTTTGTATAAGAAGAAAGGAGTCAAGAAAGGAGTCCTTCTGTGTAATCCCTTGTTCTTAGATTATACTTAGTGCAGTATCTATACTAGGCTTGCTTATTCTGGATTCTGAATGTAAAATTTGATTGATTAGTCTGATCAGTTAGTTATTTTCTATAGGACTCTTGTTTCTTATCAAAAGTTCTTTATAAGGTTTTATATGAAATTAATATACAAAATTAAATTGAACGAATTTTAATTATTTCCGCGACTACACAAAATGTTATTCATTACAGAAAATAAAAGATAAATAGGTTATAGATATGATCATAGATTTAATTATAGTTTAATTCAGCAAAACTGTCAGCAAAATGAGCAACTGGGCAAGAAGAATGCACCGACGAGCAGCCACATTAAGCAATGTGGTTACGTCTTGTGGGCATCCTAATTCTTTGCCATATCCAAGAAGGCTAGAAAAAGTGAAGTTTGGTGTTCCTTTGCACGAAGTGTGCAAAGACGATATACCTGGGCCATTGCTTGTTAGTGTTAAAACTATTGTTAGTTTATTATTTATTTATAATTATCAGTAGTCTAAATTTGTGGTGATGTTCAGGTGCTGATATTAAAGTTGAACAAGGAAGCGCCTCTTCGTCGCGACGTGTTCCGGGCGCCGGGACATCAGGGTGCTATGAAAAAGCTAATACACTTCCTGCAAACGGGCAGACTTGTAAATGTCGATAACTATTCAGTGTACACAATTGCTAGTGTTCTTAAAAAGTTTTTAAGGTAAGATATTGTAATGTTTTCAGTTTTTTGTTGTAATAATTGGATAGAAATATGCATATTGATGAATTTGACTGTGCTGTAATGCCTTTTAATTGTATTAATAACCAGTGAGCTATTAACACAATATTAACAGTTGTTAAGTGTCATTTAATTGTTATACTTTTATAATATTTTTATTTTATTATTCATTTACTTAATATTTATTATCATGTTAAATTTTAATATTTAAAATGGCTAATTGTAAAAATAATACAAACTGATTATTGCATGATTACATGAAATTTTGTGTATTTTTAAATTGCATGATATGGTGTCTGAGAAATTACCAAATTGATATGATTATAAAACCATACAGGTAATGTTACACATATCCTGTTCTCAAAGAAACTTATAAGAATAATCAGTTTTTATAATCAATGTGTATAAGTAGACTACACTCTCCTTAGATTTTTTTTTATGCAACTTAGAATGGCAAGCTAGTTGACAGTCCACCCGAAAAGTGGTAACCATCACCTATAGACATGAGTAGTACCATGGATATAACAGAGTATACTGTTTTACTCATGATACCCCCCTATGCATTGCCATTCCTGAGGATTCAGGTATTATTCCTCTGTACCCTGTAAACTTACTGTCATATCCCACCCTTCTAACTGAAACACAGCCATTCAAACACAACTGCTTCACAGTTGAAATGTGAATGAGACAGACGTGCCTAAGCAAACAATTTTTGTACACGGTCTCCCTCTGGTAAAAGATTAGTTGAAGTTCATACAGTTTAAGGAATGGTCAACACGAAGAGTCTTAGAAATGGCATGTATCCATGAGATAAATTATGAAAATGGAACAGATAAGAGTAGAGACTTGGTACTTGTCTAACAATCCCATATTGTGGACAAGTACCAAAACAACAAAAGAAAAATATTTGTTTGGTGACCGATTAATTTTGCCGCTACTGTTTTACATCCTTAGGATGTTGGTAGCAGGTGAATTTGAGAACCTATTAGATTTAGAACCATACCATGCTGCTCGGCCAATATGGTAAAAATTATTTGTTTTAATAATAGTATTATTATGGAGTGATCTGTTCCCTATAGTAAGTTGTTAATGAGATGTTATGATAAATATTCAAGATTACCATTGATATTTATAACCTTGTAATTTTAAAATATATGTTTTATATCTATTATTATTTTAAAAAAGTAGAAAAGATATAATTTTTTCCATTAATAATATTATAATATTAATTATTACTATTATGTATTAAATCTCACCTTATAACTGGTTTTGTAGAGTCAAGGACGGGTTTGTTACTAAGTCACTTGTTCTCATATTTTATTTTATTCAGTAGGAATGTTAGGAATTGGACTATTTAAAAATTTTCTAACTATGGATAATACTGTAGATTTCTGGAGTTCAAGGAAGAATGTTTTATTATGGTGCAATTTATTTAATGCGTTGTGTAGAGATTTTGGGATAAAACCAGTAGAAGATAAGATAATCGGCATTATATCGTATTGATCCTTTACAACATCCCTTATTTGAATGTCTATATTTTGAAGGATATCTGTATCTTTCCATATAAGGTATGTGGTGCCTTTAGTGAAAAATTCGGGTATGTTATCTGGTTCCCTGATCATGGAGTTAAATATATTTGCCAGAGTTTCATGAGTAAAAGTAAAGTATTTCAACCAGTAATTTTGTATCTTATCTGGACCAGGCGCTTTCCAGTTCAGAGTTTTGCATGATGCCAGTTTAATATCTTCCTTGGTGATCGTGACTTTCTGCATTATTTGTATATTCTTTGTTTCATTCTCTTCTATTGATATCCATGGTGCGTGTTCATTATGGCATGCTGGATTTCTCCATATATTTTCCTAGAAACTTTGGATATTATCAATTTCAGGTGCTTGGGTGGCAACTTGATTCTTATTTGAGGTCCGAAAGAAGAGTTTTTGAATTGTTTTAAATAATTTATTCTATTTTATTCGCAAGTTACTTTTTTTTTTGTATCTACGTAGGCGTAGATTAATTTTGTTTTGTTTTTTGACAGATAGGTTTCCTTGTAAGTATTGTGTAAGTTGTCCAATTTCTTTTCTTAACTTATTAATTTTTCTATCCATACATCGCTCCCAGGCTGGTTTTACGTTTTTGTTATGTCGCCTAATATCTATTCCAGTATTATTTGTAGTTTTTGAATGTGAGGGCTTGTACAATAAAGTGGTAGTAGATGCAGCACTGTAGATGATTAACTGTAGCTTTTCGAAAGTGTTAACTGTGTTCTCTTCAATGTAATTTTGTATTATGTCATTTAGTGTATTAACTGTTTTTGTAGTTCTATAGTTGATTTGTAATTTTGGTTTAGTAGGTCTTAATGTAGGGTCAGTACCTCTATATTTAATTAATGTTTCGTAAAATAAAGCTTTAGCTTTGGAGTAGTTTATAGCTTCTTGAGACTGAAAATTAGATAAATTACGAGAATTAGATGAATTAATTATTATTTATATAATTATATTATTACTATTTTTTATTGATACCTCATATCTTTTAGATATATGAATTTATACATTTTTATTTATCAGCTTATTAATTTGTTGCACAGAATTTGTAAATATGTTATTGTTTATAATACTAGTATTTATTATCTCTCTAACACTTTTGTTAAAATAATTAATTCAGACACATAAATCGTAATTAAGCTTTTATAGTGAATATTTTTTTAGGCTTTTTGTCATTAAAAACTAAAGTTTTTATTTTAATTAATTTTGAAATATCTATCAATAATTGTAAGTTTGAAGAAATGAATAAGAAATCTAGTATGTAGATAAAAGTGTTATCTTTCAGTAAATCTGTAGTTCAACTCAGTCCTTTATTTGTAATTTTATTTCACTCTTAATTATATCATTCAATAATATATAGTTAGAAGAATAATATAAAGGCAAAGCTCCATACTTAGCGTCATCTATTTGCATGCATAAGTTAAATGGAAGACCTCTTTTCGCTGTGTACTTTTTTTTGCAGGTGCACTACAGAATATATTTCGAAAGAAATTTCATTCAAATTTCTTCAACTGTATTAGTGTGATGAAACAAATATCAAAAAATCTTGATTTTTTTTTAAACTTTCCTTTTTATAAAATTAGAAGGAAGAAGGGTATTAGGGGAAAAAGTGAAAAATAATTGTATTTTATTTTAATTTTTTAATGTGAGTATGTATTTTGCTTAAAAAGTTAAAAATTAAATGATAATAATTTTGTGTTAATAGAAAAATCCCTGGTGGTGTGTTTGGACGAGATGGTGAGATGCAGCTCTTCTCGGCTGTGGAATTGCCTGAAGAGCAGCAAGTTAATGAAATACGCAGGTTAGAGTAAATAACATTTTTTTCGCTTCTATTAGTAAATATTAAATCTATATTTTTTTAATTCTCATATACAGACACCATTTATTTATGGTTTTATTGTATTAGTAAGATATTTCACTAGGTATTCCACATGGCTTTATATGGCTTAAATTAGAGTATAAACTCCCTGTCTTAAATTTAGTTGAATCCCTTCAGCCTTTATTACTATTGATTGAGTAACAAACAGAAATCTAAAAAACCGTAACATTTATTATTAGTATAGTATTAATAAGATTTTTATAATAGTTAATATTAATTCATATTAATAATTTATTTACATGCTATTAATTACATTTTGTGGTATATTGCGGTATTATCCTTGTATAATAGTTTAGGTATCAACATAATATTGTACCTATCTATTGTATATATGTAGTGGTTTATTCATTCTATTGTTTAAGTAACAACTTCACAGAATAAATAATACTTATAGGTCGATCGATACGATACGATTTTTGTGCTTGTTTGTCATTTTAGCTTGAAATTGCAAACAAGTTGACGGTGTACTTGATAGGAAACGATAAACATACCACGGATATTATATATATATATATATATATATATATATATATATATATATATATATAATATCCGTGGATATAGAATAAACATAATGCTGCCGTACCCTGTTATTTCACTATTATGTTTAATTTGAAACACAGTCATATCAGTATAGCACTGCTTGTTAGCAAAACCAGTGAAATGAACCAACGTGAATAACGCTTAAAAGGTTGTTACTATATCAGAAAATAACTCAGAGGGCCTACCATGAAATGTTTCCCGAAATTTCGGAGCCGAACGAAATACAAATTTGATGTTAAAATTACGTAAGGGTTTTAGACGGTAAGCATAATACTTAAAAATATTAAAATATTATTTCTTTGGACTTTTATGGTAGGATTTATGACGAACGAAATGTTAAGCTCCATTTACTGGGCCGATTTAGGTATGAACGAAAACACGAAACTGAGTCCGAAATTTCGGAATTAAATTTTTTTAAATCCTTTCGTCCTGTAATGTTTTTGATATACGGAACCGTCTGGACGCGAATTGCAGCGTACTTGGCCCGATTTTTGTTCCATAGATTTCCTAATCAAACGATAACAACGATCAATAGTTATTACTTAACGGGTAAACAACAATAGTGAGCCAATGTCCATACAGCATGCCGTATTAATTTACATATACGAGTATTAACATGTGTTAACTTTTTGTAACATAACTGGTTGTTAAATAAACGGTATATTATCTGTACAATTATAAATCCAACGGTAGTTTTAATTATGACAGTACTTTCTCCAAAGAAAGCATATATTATTGAAATGTAATTTTTTGAAATGTTTATGCAAATTGGTTTTGTTGCGTGTTCGATTTATGTCTTTTTCGTCATACCTGTGTGTAAGATAAAAAAAAAAAAGAACATACTGTTCTTAAAATTTAGACAAGAAACAAATTTTAGCAAAAATTAATAAATATAAAATTAATGGAAATACTGAAGTTGAAATAGTACATAATATATATTGTGTACTACCCCTTCCATTCCCGTGAGTATCGTAAGAAGCGACTAAGGGTGCTTCATGTTAGAGCGTCAACAGGTGGTTGGTCAGCAGCGTCGCTTTTTAAACATTACTAAAAGTCTAACTGCGTTTTCCAATCCGCTTGCCAACCGTGGCAAGCTCTGGCAAAACTCCCTTTATGGGCAAGGCTTATGTTCAGCAGTGGACAGTTAACGGTTGATATGATGATGATGATAATTAATATATATATATATATATATATATATATATATATATATATATATATATATATATATATATACTACATTAGTAGTATAATGCATGTTCCAATGTATTCTGCGATATTCGTGGTACTGTTCATGCCCATAGCTAATGGTTACAATGTTACAATAGATGGGCACAAATTGACAAAATCTGTTTGTAACAAAAAAAAAATCTTTTTATAATATTGTATAAGTATAGATAAATTCTTAGCAAAATAATGTATGTTAAATATCATGACGATTGGTCGAGTCTTTAAGCCGCCAAAGAAAGAACAAACAAACACATTTTCTTTTTTATAATATTCATAGGGATTGTCCAAAGGGTAAGGGGAACTTTTGACCGCGGAAAAAAGGTCTTTTATACGAAGGTCATTAGATTGATCGTCCTACTGTCGTTCTTAGCTAGAATGGCCGTAGTATCCCGTTTAGTGCGCGTCCCGCCCACGCCACACCCATAATTCCATTGTTTACTGTAACACGAGAAAGCCATTGGACTTTCACATTATAGCCAGTATCACGGATGGTAACAATGCATGTTTACAAACTGCATTATGATGCATGAAGTGCGCAAGTATCACGCAAATTCTTGTTAGTTATCACATATTACAGCACTTTTACATAGTCTTCTTTTTATATCAAGAAAGTATAATTGTTTTTCTAAAATTATGAATTTTTGATGAGAAACCTTGTTATATAAATTTATATTATATTTATCGAATATAATATCAATTTATATACGTAATTCTATTTTTTGAACCTATCGTCATACTTAACAACTTTAATTAACGTAATATATTTATGTAACTTGAGCACACTATGTTAGCATCTGAGAACATTTATGGGTGAAAATGGTATGGTAACCCCGCCTGCGCTAACGGTATACGCTTGCGAAGCACCAGTGAAGGGTGACAGATGAGAATGAAAACAGGCCAGTTAGCCCATCATGATGAATTCATCAGGAATTAACCATGATAGTTTCCAGGGAGAACCGCGAGGAGGTCGACCTGGTTGGGTATATTGCTAGCAATGGGATTCTCAGTCTCCCTTACTAACAATCCTTTTCCCCCCCATCTGAGAGTGGTTGTCATCTATACTTATAATAAACTGTAGAGAGGTCAATTCTGTACATGAAATATATTTCCAAAATTCCAAAACAACTATCAGGGGGTGATTAGTGATCGATACTGATGGCAAAAATGCAATCAGTAAAATTTTTGTCTGACTGCCTGTATGTTCGTTATAGAAACAAAAACTACTCGACGGATTTTAACATAACTTGGTACAATTATTCTTCATACTCCTGGGCAGGTTATAGTATACTTTTCATCGCGCTACGATCAATAGGAGCAGAGCAGTGAAGGGAAATGTTAAAAATGTCCACCCGTGCGACGCCGGGACGGGCCGCTAGTTATAACATAAATATAAATTAACTCGTAAAAAATAAGAGTATAGAGAACCACACACAACTCAATAAGTAGTATTTTTTACATAGTTTGGAAATAAAACCAAATTTTCAACTAAGTTGAAATTATTAAGATTGTTCTACAAAATAAAAAAAAAAATATATAACTTCAATTGTGGTAAAATTAGTTATTTTTATGTCTAAACTACTGAACCGATTTTAAAAAAAATTACGAGGGGATCAATCTGTAAGTATATCCTTTTAAACGAAAAAGAAGTATTTTTCATATCGGTTTAAAACTGACAGAGTTATGAGGTAACAAACATAAAAAAATATAACCGAGAACCTCTTTCTTTGTAAAGTCATTCTTATCATCAATCAGTCATATCCTTTCTGAGGGACCTGATTGTAGTCTTTAGTCGCACTTTGCGATTTCGGATTGATATACCATTACAGAGTAGATAAAAGATAATTTCTTGTTCCATCCACTTTCACAACTTGTCTTATGCATAGACACGAGTTCTAGACTCCTCCCTCATGGTAGTACCTGCATTGTCCTGCATGATAATCAGATCTCGACTTTGATTTCGGTAATGAAGTAGCGAAACGTAAGACTCAAGTCTAAACTATACTTTGAAAGTGGAATATAAACATGTATGTCTTATGCTTTATTGACGATGAATGCATGTTGAAATTACAGTTTACAAGCCCTTCCTGTTTGTAGCTTGCATGCTATTATGTTAAATCAGATTGGAAGCAGTGTATCGCACGGTCGGCGGTCAGAGTCGAGTCCATTAGTAATATAGTGGCGAGCGGTTCCGCCGACCGAATCATGCGCAAGCGAAACCCATCATTATGAACAGAGCTGCCCTTTATTCTCTGATTTTAATCTTGTCCCTCGTTCCCATATAATCGACGTGCTCGCTCTTGGTGTGAACGTTTAAGTCTACTTATTTTTCGTTCAATTAGGTCATCTTTTAATTTTTTATTACTCATATCATTCATCTATTTGTAAATATGTAAATAGATAAATACTTACTTCCTTATTAATATTATAAATGTGAAAGCGAATTTGTTTGTTTTTTATCTCTTAACCCCTCTACAGCATAACCAATCACTATGAAATTTTACAAATATAAACGTACGTACTATAATGTATAGGATGAAGAAGCAAGGCAGGAAGTTACTTTTTATCCTGGTCAGCGAACATATCACGGTTACGTAGACGAAGTCGCGTGTATAAGCTAGTTAAGTTAATAAATATTAAACCTCTGAATTTTATCAGATTAATGTCAGATAATACATTTAAAAACATTCGCTATTAGGCGAATGAACGTGTAAAATAAAATTTGGCGTATAGACTATATTCTAGACTGCTTGTTTCGTATAACATAAATTGCCTTGATGGATTTTAACAAATAGGGTGTCGTTAGATTAATTGTGGGAACACAGTTGGTTACACGTCGACAGTAATAAATCAACACGGCGGACATAAACTGTCAAAAACTTATTTTAGAGCGAGCTTATCATGACCATGCTACTTCTACTTAATAAATAAATATCTTAAGAAATTTAGTCTCAAAATAAGCATATTATAGCACAAATTATAGAAAGCCTCACTAATATTATAAATGTGAAAATGCATTTATTTACCTCGTAGCGCTTTAATGGCTTAACCAATCGCTATGAAATTTGGTATGCAATATGGGAAGGAAAAGTTACTTATCTCGGTCACTGGACGAAGTCACAGGTAAAAGCTAGTGTTTATACACAGAAAACACCCAAGCCAATATTAACAGACATCCTCGTGAATATAAATGTTTGCATTATGCAGGGATCGAACATGCGACCGTTCAATTGAGGCAGAGTGTTAAACCGCTACACCACTGAGGTCATGGTAGTAAATATCTCATTATGAATGTTAAAAACATTGTAGCAACGCATGATAACTTATAATTTTATTGTCACGATAGATTAGAAGGGCAAATTGTATGCAGTTTTACAGGAGACAATTTCCGCAACAACATCGTGCAAGTTATTTTTTTTTTTATACCATGAGGGTAGCAAACAAGCATTCAGCCTGTCTTATGGTAAATGATTACTGGGCAGCCTATGCAACACTGTGTTATGTGCCTTAATATATCCTTTTTGACGAAGCCCATACAGTAGTTTTTAGGAAGAACCTCGGCAGGGATCTTATTCAACAACTAGAGTGTTCGCGGAGAAAAACTCCTTTCAAATTGCACTTTATGCGACCATTTAGGTTCAAGCGTATGAGGATGAATTCGTTGTCGGTGGCGACAAGTGCGATTGTAAAAGGTGGCTGTGGGCATCATTAAAAAATAAAGTAAAATCATCATCAACGGACCTCCTCAAATGGAGACTGTGTGTGGAGACTCAAGACGACGACACATAGTCGTCGTCTTGAGTACTTCTCTCCCACTGTTAAGTAGATTGCATGGCTGTTTTCGGTTTGAAAGGTAAATGTTTGTGAAATTATAGGATAACAGCGCTCAGCATTGGCAATGCATGAGATATACCATGGCAATCTCAACATATGGTAAAGTCCATGGTGTTCTAGTGTAGGTAGATAGGTAATTATTAGGTAAAGGTGACTGTTACCGCTTATTATCAGGTATATCGTTAGCTTGTGTGTTATTCCAAATTGTGTGAAAAACTAATTAATTGTTAATACACAAATGCATGAAATTAAAAATTGTTTTTGTTCGCAGATTGTTGTTGTCGCTGCCAGTTTGCACGCAAAAGTTGTTAGTGCTTCTATTCGGCACTTTCAGGGTGATGGCTTCCAATGCTGATAAGGCTGGTGAGTTGAACAGAAAGTTTGACAGATCTTAACTAGCGGGTAGTATTATAAAAAAATAAAAATAGAGTACTTAGTCAACTTCAATAAAACTAATGAAAATATAAAGAAATGAATAATTGGCCCAATTAGAAGACAGTCTGTCGATATAGATTTTTTTTTATTATACTATTATGATAGATAGATAAATAATTTATTAACATTACTTACAGCACACTAATTACAATACATACACATAATACACAGAAAAAGAGATAAAAGAACTAACACCAAAAAAAAAAAAAAAAAAAAAAAAAAACAAAAAGCAAAATATATAAAACAACAATTTGCTTTTTTTTCATGCGTGTGCCATAGTAATACAAAATGGTCATAACTCAGTTTATTGTTTTGTTCTCAAGCGAGCAAAACACTGATATTCTGTTGTGGCTAAAAGTCAGTCGCGAAATTCCTTATTAAAAATAATAATAAAAAGAAATATGAATAAAATGCATTGTGTGTGTGTTCATTACGTTTGCCTCCATTTGATATTCTATTTTAAATAAATAACAGATACCATTAGATGAGGGGTGGTCAGAGATCACTTTCTGTCACATTTAGACATTCAGGCAATATATAATTAATATTTCGACTATTTGATTGAATGTTTAGATTTGGTACCAGTTTCACTTAGAGAGTGTTAATTTTAATAAAATTTGGTTACCGTGACTGTGAGTTCTGTTGAAACAGACAATTTGCAAGCCGGAAATCTAATCGGTAGGTATAATTATCAACGCCATTTTGTTAATAATAATATAATTAATGATAAACACTTAATATAGTTATTCAGAATTACTTTCATATTGATATTATTGTACAATATCTTAGTACCTGTCGGCTAATATGCAGTATACAGAAAAACTTGTATATTTATTATACTCGTATCTTATACTGTATGAACGTTGTTTTATAAGTTTTTATACGTTTACTAATTAAATAAAAATAAGATAATAAGACTTGATAGTCGTCTAGGAGCAGAATCATTATTTTATCTTTATTTATTTTATCAATATTCGGTACATTATTGAGTCTCGGCATAAAATGGGCCAATTCGTCCTTCCCGCGGGTGTCGTAAGAGGCAACTAAAGGAACTTAATAGTCGAGGAATGGGCAAGAGCGTACCTCTTAAATCATCCCAAGAGCTGAACTGTGCTTGCCAACCCGTCCTCTAAGCGTGGCAAGTACTGACAAAACCTCTGGAGGAGGCAGTGGGCAGTTAACGGTTGATATGTATGTAACAGTATAGAGTTTTAATCCGGATATAAAATGATTGTTCCTTTAGTTAATGAAATTATTTTCTATAGGAATTAAACTCAATTACCGAGGTGGTAAACCAGTTTTAATATCAGCAAACTAATGTTGAATTCACTCCAACTTTCTTTAATGATGACTTTTTAATGACTTTATAATTACAGTTGTATATAAAACTGTCACTAAGTCTATTAGTGTGTGAACTCGCATTTACATATATAACTATGTGTATCTAGTCTACAATTAGGGTATCCCATGAATTAAGACTAGAATATGACCTACCTAGGTATCAGATTTCATATACCTTCAGCCTTTTAAGTGTGGATAATTAAGTAACAAACATTCAAACAATTTTGCAAACTTTCAAATTTATTATTTGAATTTCATTTTGTTAACTAATAATAATGTAACTATCTGAGAAATTTTACTATGTTCAAGTTTTTTTTATACAACTTAGAATGGCAAACAATCTGACGGCCCACCTGATGGAAAGTGGTAACCGTCACATATAGACATGAGCAGTACAATGGACATAACAGAGTATACTGTTTCGCCCATGATACCCCGTCAGCTTGGTACGTTTTTTGTACGCTGGTTTAAAAAATATAAAAATATAATAATCATCAATTTCGACTAACAGATATTTAATATGCGCTCACTTGTATATATTTCTTTCAACAATTATCAAAAATATATATTTAAAAGTAAGTTTCTCTTTTATGTTGTTTCCTTGTATTGTCGGAATACGATATCCACAAGCAAGACTTGCGGAAGCAGAAATTTCTCTTTACTAATTAATTTAAGATTGAGTTCCATAAAAAAATATTTCCTACCTACCCACCTATTTCAGTTCTGTCAAAACCACTGATTTTGATTTAAAAACTAAATTGCTGAATCGATTTTGACAAAATTTCTACAAGATCAATTTGAAACTGTATCCTTTCAGATAAAAGTAGAATTTTCTAAATGGGTTTATTAATAATGAAATTATGAGATAACAAACAAAAAAAAAATGTCGATTGAAAATTGTAATCAGTTTAGAGTAATTTAGAGATTTAATTAGATGGAACGGGGAATTTGTGAAAAATAGTACTAACCGCCTCGCTCTATTAAGGTAATCTCACACTTGACAAAACAGGCATTTGGCATTATCCAACTGATAATAATGACTTGTAATTATGCCAATTACCCGCGGCTCGCGTGGGTGTGCATGCTACAACATGATGCAACCGTAACACTTTATATTGTACGATTATTTAATCTTAAAATGTCTTGATGTTCATTAACTGTTTGTCTTAAGTCTGCAGGAGGTTATTAATTAAGACGGGCGACTTTTTTTTAATTCTTTATTTAGGGGCTTTTATAAATATGGCTAAGTATATAAACATGTCAGCTCGTAATTAGCAGGGGAAAGGGATTGTTAGTAATGGGGTCTAATAGTCTAGAATATATTGTTAAATATATTCTATCAGGTCGACTTCCACGTGGTTCCCCCTGAAAATCATTATGGTCGATTCTTAAATTCGTCACTATGGGCTAAGCAACAGCGTATACCGTTAGCGCAGGCGGACCCGCGAGTATACTTAATAACAATCGTATATTTTATCTGTTTGGATTATGTTTCTGCATGAAAGCTTCCTTTTCTATTTTTAAATATAAAAAATGATTAGAAGACTACTATCATCATTGTGTTCTCTTTTATTTGATATTTATATGTTGTATTTAACATATGTATATATATATATACATATATATGTGTATATATATATATATATATATATATATATATATATATATATATATATATCTCTACTGGTGTGTGTCTATATATATGTGTGTTATATGTATTTTTTATGTTATATATATATATATATATATATATTTATTCTTATTTATGTAGGTTTATATTCATGTATATGTATTAATATTGTACACCATATAGGCCACCCCTTCCTTTCCCCCAAGAGGGAGGCCTATGTTCAGCAGTGGGCAGTTAAAGGCTGATATTATGATAATATATCCTTCTCCATCCTGTGTAGTACAAATATACCAAATTTCATAGTGATTGGTTAAGACGCCAAGGCGCTATAAGGTAGCAAACTCACATTCACATTTATAATATTAATAAGGACTAGTAATTATTCCATTAAATTGTTATGTTACTATGATATTATGAAAAATTTTAATGCTTACTGACGTTATTTAAATGGTTCCTATACAAAATAGTGCATTTCTAAATGCAACGGTTTTGATTAAGTACTAAAAGTTTTTTTTTTATATTAAGTATATGAATTTATTGTACTCGCGTAAAATACATGAAATAACAATCGCTTCCACTAACTTACATCATTTCGGCTGTTAATTGCCCTCTGCTGAACATAAGCCTTCCTCAGAAGGGGAGTTTTGCCAGTAGTTGCCACGTTTGGCAGGCAGATTGGCAAAACCGTAGTTTGGTTTTTAGAGATGTTTTGAAAGGGATGCTGCTGCCCATCTCTCAACCATTAAGTTCCTTTAGTGGGCTCGTACGATAACCACGGGAAAGGAAGGGGCGGTCTATTCTATGCCGGGACCACATGGACACCACTTCACTAATTTAAAGATAAATTACTTAAAAGTACTTAAAATTTTATTTAATTATAATTTAATTAGGCTCACATCATCCTTGGGTCATGTCGACGATCCCTAGATAAATAGAATATAGGAGACTACCTGTGTGAGTCACGATAATATGTGTATGTATATATTTGGATGTATGTGTTTATTTATGTATGTGTATATGACTATGCTGTCACAGATATTATTTTTTACAGATTTATTTTTTTTAACGCACCACCTACCTATTTATGCTTTAATTCCTTCTACCCAAAGGTTGTTTGGAAGAGATTGCTTAGCAATAAGACCGCCTTTTGTACTATACTATACGTATTGAAAATTGTTCAACAAATCCTGTTATGTTGGTGCAATAAAGTGTTAAATAAATAAATAAAATAGTACACTATCCTGACTCACACGGATAAAGCCGCGTGTAACAAAATATAATACCTGCTAAATATAATAGAACAGTAGGCATGAAACGTTGAAAACATTAACTTGCCATAGCTTCTAGAGTTCGCTCATGTCATCCATTCTTATCACATTTGAATTCAATGATAAAATCTGATTAACCACACCATCTGTAAACAATATGTAGATATGACTAACAAATAGGTTTGATTGTATGCAAGTTATGCCACATAATGGAGTGCGCATAAACGCACGTATAAATTATGTCTGCACGTCATTGACGCATGCCTTGACTTACCAAGTGCCAAATTACATGATCGAATATATGTGATCACAAGATCATATTCGATTTATGAAACTATTAATTGTGCTCGTGATTTTATCTGCGAGCCAGGACAATTTTTTTTTGATGGGTGAAAATGGTGTGGTAACTCCGCCTGCGCTAATGGGATACGCTGGCGGAGCACCAGTGAAGGGTGATAGATGAAAATGAAAACAGACCAGTTAGCCCATCATGATGAATTCATCAGGAATTAACTATGATAGTTTCCAGGGGGAACCGCGAGGAGGTCGACCTGGTTGGGTATATTGCTAGCAATGGGATTCTCAGTCTCCATTACTAACAATCCTAAAAGTAGCCTAAGTCCTCCATATCAAATACTGTGTCTGTGTATGCGAAGTTTTATAATGATTGATCAAGCTTTTAAACAACAAATTGCTTCGATAGATTATTGGTGCAATAACGTTTTTAATATAATTCTGCAAGATGTTATGTACAATATTATAACACTAATAATTTTATTAATCTATAAAATTAACAACTTAATGTATATTTTATTATATTATATATCTTTGTTTGTTAGATTAGTTGTGATGTGGTGTGTTGTATGTGTATGGGAAGGAACTGATTCCTGATACACAGCTAACGCTATTTCAGGAATCAGGACTACATAAAATTGTAAGCTGATTTATATAATCAACTATTATTATTATTACAATAATTAGTATTAATTACTGTTACTTCTTGTTTACACTAGAAATTAATATTTGTTTTCGATTATTTTGCGATTCCACTCCGTATTTAAAACATTAAAAAGGGGCAATGGGAACATATTTGTTTGTAGTCGGAATTCGACCGCGTTACCGGGATACGTTGATTCAGTGGGATAAATTCGCCTATTTCCTTTTTTTTTAAATATTACTTGTATATTAATTTTCATGATGATTTATTAAGTCATTATGACGCCGAGCGGTAACAAATAATCGACATCACATAATACAGTGAGTACTAGACAATGTAACAAGTCCTTAAAATGTCGTGCCAAACAGTTAGCTACTTATGTACACAAAATGGTTGCCATGAAATTGCCTTGTTACTACGAATTAAAAGTATTTCTGTCAATTTCATTCTATTCGTTTCACTTGTTTTTTTTTAAGTGGAATATTGGTTGATTTATCGTTTCGCGTGAAACAGTGTAAGTGCATTAGCCTGATTGGAAATCATGTATAATGTACTATTTAAAACTGTAATAGTTAATTATCATGTAATTAGAGTAATGCATTCCTGTCGTCTGTTTTTTTTATCTATACTTTATATAAAATGAGCCATTGGTATATATTATAAAGTGTAGTTCTTTAAATTTACGAATATCACAAAAAAAAAATTATTTGATTTTACCGTAATATTTGTAAATACCCACAAAAAATATATTTTTACAAAACAGTCTAATTGTTAAAATATATATTCTTTGTAAGATTTTTTAATGTGGGTGACTTGAGATTTGAAATAAACATTTTCCTTATTCAGATTTGAATGGTCATTTTGTTTTCTTAAAAGTTCAAATACTCATAATTCAAAGTCCCTTCGCATGCGCTATCTGTATATGGTACATTGGCGGGATACCAGTGAGAGATGTGAGGTGAGGAAATGTGGTCAGTTTCCTCAACACGATTTACTAGGAATTAACCACGAAGATTTCCAGGGCAGACCGCTTGGTCGGACTGCAAATTGCAAAGTGGGATTCCGCAATCTAACGGGATTCAGGATCAAATTGCACAAATTAATGCTGGTTGTATATTGTAGTTCTAAAAGAAATACATTGGAAGATAATACTATTGACTAAAGTAATTGAGTTTCTTATACAAACTCAATGGTTTAATGCACCATTTCAGTACGCGACGCTCGTTTTTTTTTGTCCCTTTTCGACTCATGTTTTTTTTAGTAAAAGTGATTAGTTTCGCTGGTACAACCAATTCCTTCAAAGGGCACTAACGTTTGCCCTTAATTTTGCTAGCAATGAGGTCGCTAGACTCGCCCCGTTTTCTTATAGTCACCAATTTCAATATGGTAACCGCTTATGCTTGACTTCGTTGCGGTGGACCAATTGACCTGATTTCGTCGTCATCGCTTAATCCTCCATTGGTGTCTCGCCATTGTATACTGTTAACACAGGCGGGTGCATCATTCCATCATTATTTATTAAAAAAAACTTAATTATAGTTATGCTCATATTATGTTATTGTCTTGATTTTAGGTACAGGTATGACATCTGAGGCTCTGGGAGTATCGGTGGCACCATCGTTTTTCCACTCTTGCGTATCGGACGGCAAGACCGCCACAATGGAGGACGTTCAGCGGTTCAAGGTCAGCATGCCTATTACGATCCCAGGCCAAATATATCATACGCCTATTATAGTACTTAATGAGCCGTTTCTACTTTGTATTCGATTGCAACACTAGAGAATTGAGAACATATTTTGAACTTTAATTTATCATTGCCATAAAGAGGGATAGTTTATAGAGAATTGCTAAGTCACAAAATATCGGAGCCAAGTAAATATAGTCTTTATTTACTTGCTTTTATTGTTGTATTTTTTAAAGTGTTCTTAAAAATTTGTGAAATTTTATACTTGATTTGTAAATATTATGTGACTTGCCAGTTAATTTAGTCGGTTTTTCTGGTATTTGTAATAATTGAAATCGGAAAAATCTTATGTAAGGACCAAAACATTTCATTATGTCTCGTACATAAAAAAATAATTAACTATTGAACGGTTTTTAATAAAATTTCTATGGGCCCAATCTGTAAGTGATCAGATAAAAGCGATTCAAATCTGTTTAGAACTGTCGGAGTTATATTTTAACAAACATAGTTAAATATACAACCGAATTGAAATCCTCTTTGCTTTTGAAGTTGGTTGAAAATAAAAAAAAAAATCTTCAATAATTATATTTAGCTCTCAAGGGATAAAATTTATTATTATACTTAGTATAATATGGTTTTAAATAATATTTATTTGTCCGTTGTGAAGGTCGCCTCAGATTTCACTTTTGATAACACTAATACATAACATAATGTTGTATAAATAAAAAAATAATGTAATAGATTGTACATAATATTATAGTCGTTGCACCATTATCAACAGATTAAATATAGCAGGTACGTGTCAGCATAATCGACTGATGTGGACATCTGCTTTTGCGTATTTTGATTTTACGACATTACATTCTGATATTATTATTTGAGTAATAGTTCTACACCTAATTATATATTTCGTATTAATAATAATGAAGTGATAATCATTAATTAATATTACTTGATTTACTCCTGAAAATATAAGAAAATTGAGTTTTATTCGAAAAGTATATAAATGAAATATACTTAGTAAACAGTTAATAAATATATTTTGTATACATAGGTGTGTTATAGGTGTTGTTGTATAATTTCTGTTTGTGTATTTAATGTATATACACTTATCAGATCGTATCAAAGTTAATCTTCTGTGAATACTAAAGTGGTTTCTTTATCAAACGGCATTAACCGCACTTTCTTATCAGATAAATATATACTCATATCTCAATCTAAAGACATCAAAATAACCCATTTTACACAACATTATTAGCATTTATATCTATGATAAAGATCTTTTAACGTTGTCCGTTTATTCTCATTTTAACAAATAAAAACAGTTAACCTTCGAAGACATAATTATATGAAGTCAAAATAAAGACCACATATAGCTATAGGGTTTATAAAATGCTAATGGGGATCACGAACATTTACATGTCAAACATTAGACCTCTTATTCATAAAATCTAAAATCTTCTACAAATCTATTTTAACTATTATACTACTTAGCCACTTTCTTTCAAATTAGGAATTTAGCATAAAAGAAAGAGACAAAACAGTTCAATAGCTAAAATAGGTTTATGATATGTTTGACATTTCTTGTGAAAAAGTGGGTAAATATAATTAATTTTATGTTCTTCTGTATTGATAACTATATTTTTGTAATAGCGCACTAATACTTTACTGCTTTATATAATCTGTTGTAAATTTTTATTTGAAAAAAAAAATAGATGATATAACTTTAATGATAATATACATGTAGTAGTAATTACCCACAACTTAGTCCATGTGACCTGCAATTCTTTATTCATCGGGATAACAAGTACCCAATTCTCCCGGTATATATATATATATATATATATATATATATATATATATATATATATATATATATATATACCGAATTTCATGACGATTGGCAAGTCAATGAGAGAGAAGGTAACATACAATCAGATAAAATCACTTACACTGATGTAAAGTTAATTTTACTAATATTGCTTGTTTGGTATATTTTTATATATTTTTTTTAATATATTTAAATGACTGAAGGGATTTTAATGAAATATCACTCATAGATCATATTTCCTACAAATAATATTTATATTTTAATTCATATATATCTTAAGATCTAATAGTTAATAAGTAAGGATACTTATATCAACGAAGGGTTTTTATTCTATATATATCTTAAAAATGTCAAGTTAAAATACACTACATGGAAATTTGGAGTCGAAATGATAGTCAAAGAACATTGTTTGCTAGTATCTCCCTATACAAACATTATACTAATTTATAAAGCATACAATACAGTTGTATACATAATGTTCCCATTACATTTTCACCATGTAAAAGTATCGACAGTGTAAAGGCGTTGTACATAGCTTAAATTACTTGGTATGTCTGAAACATGCGGCAAAAGGCTGAAGTGAGCGTAAGTATTAATAGTAATTAGACACAATGAATAATCTCCTGTAGCTATCTTACAAGCTTTCCCTATCGGCTTTTTGACTAATTATGCTTTTTGTAATATTCTAGTGTAGATTACAAATTAGAAAACACTATACACTTTTTATTATATATGAGTAAAACAATTAATGTCCATCGACAGGGAGTTCATCCTCATGTCCTACAGCCTCACTGGTCGCGTACTGCGCGGTTTCAGAGATGTTTCCTCCCACTCAGCACTCAGGTTGTGGAATGAGCTCCCTGTCGAGGTTTTCCCAAGAGACTACAGCATGGGGTTCTTCAAAAAGGGGGGTAAAGAGGTTTCTTCAGGGTCGGCATCGTACGCGTAATACCTCTGGTATTGCAGGTGTTCATAGGCTACGGTAACCACTTACCATCAGGTGGGCTGTATGCTTGTTTGCCACCTCAGTGGTATAAAAAAAAAGCTTTATGCTTTAGTCTTCATTTATGACTAAGTATATAGTAATGTCCTGAATTTATTATTCTTTTGAATTTTTTCATTAGCCTACTTAATCCACTTGACTGCAACGTGACGCACTGTTTATTTATTTTTTGAATGATAAACCAAAATGGTGAAAAGCGCCACACATACAAACAATATTATTTTTTTTATAAAATGGCCAGCAATAAAATTGTTAAGAATATGTCTAAATTATTTTATCTGCTTACAATTGTCTCAGTTTTTTTATATCTTTGTCCAGTAAAATTAATACTGTGTTATTAATGAATTTATTTATTAGAAATAGAGACTAGATGAGTATGTTTGTAGTATTAAAAATATGAATTATAACAATTTATATTTTTAATAATAATAGACTTATTTAACTAAAAAATAATACTAAAGGTTTGTCACAATTGCATCAGATTTTAACATTTCTTTTGCGAGCCCGTAACATCACAGATAACAGCTTGATTCACTAACTCCTTTATTTATTTCCTACCCGTTGACTCATCTCTTATTCAAGTTAATTTAACTAAGCAATATTTACCGAAATTCCTTAGTAGCTTAGTAATGTAACCTTGTGTAAATTCATGTCTAGTTAATCCAAGTGTCTATTATTATTAGATAAAGTAGTTGTAAAATGTCAAGTCTTATTGTGTTCGTTTTAGCGCATTTTGCAACATTTATATTGTATCCATTTATTTTGTGTACATGTTATTTTTTGGTATTTATTAAATATATATTGAGAAGTGACTTAATTTCAGCGTAAATCCGTAATGATAAGATAACATTAAATTGCTTAAAACGTTTTATAATACATCCATTTTAATCCAGTATATTTGATTACGAAATATTAATCTAATGATATCACAATTAATAACCAACTGAGATAATCTTATCTATTAATCAAGGAATTAAATGAATAATGTGTACTTAGTCACTGTCCAGATATGTTTTTATAATTGGAAATAGTAAAGAAGCTCACGGTCCACCTGGTGGAAAGTTATAATCATTGTTTATAGAAATAAACAATACCATAGACATCAGATATCCCTTATTATTTATATGTTACTCATAAGGAGTAACCTGTTTAAATACTTCTTATGTTAGAGAGAGATAACACTATCTTGGCTATCTCTGACACAAGGTCATCTTATCCATTATATGGAATCACTAATGAATGCATTGCTGTTTCATACTTTGTCATTTCCATGTTATTGTTTTTGCGCGTTTTAAAGGTGACGTTTACTTTAATCTTTCCTCAAGGGACCGTCTGCTTTTGCTATTATGTACCTCGGGGGTAATCTTTATCAAGTAGAAACATGAACAAATTAAAAAATATGTATGTTATCTTCTGCTGTATTATGTTTGTATCCAATAGTTATAGATTTGCTGTTTAGTTTTTAAGAAAAGGGTTAACTTTTGTAAACTCTCTTGTTCATTCTGTAACTTTTAATTGTTAGATTGACTGGAAGAGATCTATTTTATAGATAACTCAATTTTTGCTCGTGTTGTCTTTAATTATTATAATGACCGTATTTTGTAGTGCAATAAAGAATATTGAATAATGTTAGCGGTTAGAAAAGAGACTTGATATAGGTTACCCCTGAAATAAAAATATTGTAATAAGAATTTATTTTGTTCACTTAATAGTATATTTTCTTTATCATGTTATAATATACTGTATTATCAGGTGGCGACCCGTATTATGCGGCAGCTGATCGAACAGTTCAGCGCCGGCGATCTATTCGGCAGAGACAACTACGAGTACTACGCGCGTGTCACGGGACGCATATTGCGTGTGAAGGACGAATGGATATGCTCGTTCAGGGACCCGCCGCCGCCTCGACACCACAGAGACCAGGAGGCCTATGCTAGTAAGGCTCATTATATTCATCATCGTTGTCAAATAAACAAGGTGCAATTGAAATCACATTAGTACTTCTTAAGGGAGTGTTTTCATTTGTCTCATTACTCAAACGTGGGTCGAAAAGTGACAAAATATTAGGAGCCTTCCTTTTCCACCTATGCTTCTTATGATTTATTATTATTATCGCATCGGCCGTTAAATATCCACTGCTAAACATAGATGTCTCCCATATATGGGCTTTTGTCAGTAGTTCCCAAGTTTATTTTTGAAAAAATATAAGAGGTTACTAGTAAAATAAATAAGAAAATTTACTTATGATTAAATTATCATTATGAAATGCCAAGCTCAAAATTAACATTTAAAATTGATTCTATAAAATGACAGATCAGAATTGGGTGACGTTCTGACATGACAATTTCACTTCTATTCACTCTCAGAATGTTGTTAAAGGCAACCAGGTGAATGTAGCACAATATAGTACGATTACCTTAAATTATAATTTTTTTTTAATTTTTAAAGAACTTTTTTTGTAAATTTGTTGAAATTTAATTAGTAATAAATTTCAAAAATGGTTCTTAAATGGAAAGCAAAAAGCAGATTTATTACAACTTTTCTTAGCGCCCATGTCAATTTAACTTACGAGAGAGACTTCAATATTTTGTTCGGTGGTAAATAAAATATTCACAATGTTTTCAGTGTGAATACAAGGAAATTTAACGGCGACTTGAGATGTTATGAGAAGTTCGCCGTTCACGTATCGTGTTACTTGCGCGTGTTGTTGCAATAGAACAATTGAGGGCAGACAGTTGAATAAGATGTTTTGTCTATATTTAGACGAATCCTGTCTTTAATTGGAGTTCTTATTATGATCAATTAACACTAGACTAAGTAGTCACATACGGGCTGTAAAATAAACTATTATGGTTACGACTCTCGTATCTGATTTAGTAGTTATAAGAATTTTGTCGACCGTTGCCACTGTGGGGAATGTAGTGACACTTGCATCTTACATTTCTATGAGAGTATTTATTACCGTGTAGTTCCGGCATAGAATAGGCCACCTTTTCCTTTCCCGTAGGTGTCGTAAAAGTCGACTACGGGAGGGCGAGGAATGGGCAGCAGCGTCCCTCTTAAAAGATTACTGCTATTACTAGTGACTAAACTGCGGTAACCGTGAATCATAACACGTGCCTTATACTCGTTTACTACCATCGTAAGAAATGTTCTTTATGAAAGTTACTGTCTTAAATTTTGTTCATTTTTAATTTGCTATAAACTATCTGTATTTTGTTACAGGACAATTATCTTTAGAAGCGGAAAAGACCTGGTTGCAGTGTGAATGTGATAGATGGGGAAACAAATTCAACTTAGAAGGTACATGGCATGTTTATCAACATACGATATCACAGAACAGAAAAAAAAGTTTTGTGGTTTGATAATTTATAACCTACTGGGCCACTTTTGACACAATTAAATTGTTTCGATCGATATTACATCGAATAAATATCAAATGTATACGTTACTGGTACAATAAGACGTTACTGGTAGCATCATTCGATGTCTATTTGGTTTTTTTTCAATTTGATTATGTCATAACTCAACCTGCTTAGAGCTTTAATTGTGAACTTTATTTTGACTACAAATATGGTTGCTAAACTCATTTGTAATTTTGTTTAATGAGTTAATGTCATTGAGTAATAGGATTTCTGTATATTTGTCATTGGCGATAAAAATATAACCCATTGTTTACTTTTTTATACATATTTATGTGTTCGTAGATGCAAAATGAAAGTGTATCATGCCATTTTCAGTCTTCCTTTTTTCTGTTCTGTACATAATATTGTTGTCCGTATAAGAATTTTAAAATTTTAATAAACAAAGCAAATTTTTCGCAGGTCCTCTGAATGACAATCGTTTAAGTTGTTAATACTCGTATAGTCAAGTTACTTTAGTTCAATATTGTTAGTTGGTGAGTCTTGAAACTTTATGAGTAAGTTATGAAGGTACAGTTATTAATACTCACATGTCATCAATTGACCTACATACAAGTTGTAACGGAAAGGGTGTTCAAATCTGAAATGCAGTGATTAGTATGTACGAGACCGAACAAGATTCCGATCGAAAATTAAAGATATAATAATTGTTTTATACTACGACCCGTGGGTTGAAGTTAAAGATAGTTCGAAATATGAGTATGAACGAAAACTGTCACCTTATATATTGAAATATAAAACGACGCGATCAACTCGTATGTCGAAATATAAAAACAATTTCTATATTTTGACAAATGTATTGATCATGCCGTTTTTATATTTGGTGTTTACACATTTTTCGGACATTTAAATCGATTACGCGATCACATGGTTTCAATGAAATGAACTTCTTTCGTATATTCGGTTTTCTTTCAAAATTGTTGTTCGGTTTCGTAAATATAATTGCTGTATTTCGGAGTATTATAGTCTTTCTGTTACACCCTATATACTTCATTGTAGTCATTTAATCTATAAACCATTGAGGTATGGGGTTCGGTGGCACTTAGCGGTAACATTTTGGAATTGTAGACGACTCACAATAATATTATTCTACCACCATAATTTCTACCTATCAATTAACCTTGCTTAAGAGTACAACAATCAGGATTTAACATCATTACTATTTAATTAATTATTTAGATATTTTTTCCAGTTTATAATAGTATTTATGTGTGCAAGAAGAGATAAATCAGACGGCTTGGTGTAGGGTTCTATTTCGAGTTTTTCAGGGCCGGCTTTAGCCTACTTGGCAAGTTTTTGACGGCACTCCCTTGATGAATAAAAAAGATTTACTGAGGTAGTGAAGGCAAATGTTACATATTTTCCTATAGCGCCTTTTAGACCTCCCTAAGTGCAGTACTGGGATTTTCTTTCTTTTGTCTATAGCTCTTTGTACACAAGAAATTTGCTCTTTGTTTTTTTTTTATTTTGTACAAAAGTCGTTTGTTTGGGAACCTCTGTCTCATTCGTGTTTCAACCGTAAAGCAGTTGTGTTTGCATGGCTGTGTTTCGGTTTGAAGGGTGTGATATGGCGTGAATTTACAGGGTACAGAGGAATAACATCTAAGTCCTCAGGAATGGCAACGCATGGGGAGTATCATGGGCGAAACAGTATACTCTGTTATGTCCATGGTACTGCTCATGTCTATAGGCGACGGTTAACACTTTCCATCAGGTGGGCCGTCAGCTTGTTTACCATTCTAAGTTGTATAAAAAAAAAACCCCTAGTCGTTTCGTTTACAACATCCTGGTAATGGAAAGCTCTATTCTTTGCCATTGAAAGTGTGTAGCAGTTTGAAACCATACAATAGATAGATTCTTAAAAATTAATAACTTTCAAAGTATATGGATCGAAATGTGAAAATATTTTTTGATATTTTCATTTCAATCGCGTGGTCGCATAATCGATAGTTCAAAGTGAAATGTTGTGAAATATTTATGTCGTAGATTTAAATAGATGCTATATGCAGCTATGTGTATGTGTGAGTCGATTTTTGCTCTAAATTTACGCTTAATACAGCATAATTGACTCTGGCTGAATTTCGATTTGGTTCCTATATTCAATTTATTTCGAAAAATGTCTAGAGAATCGTTAATAAACGGTATATTTGATGTAATTTTTGAAAGGGTCTAATGCGAGAGGGAGCAAGCTATAATTTTCGTTACATCAAAGCTAATGGATTAGTGACAAGCTTAATTTTCATATACATTGAGATATTTGCGGCGCTTATATTTACATACCTACAATTGTCAAAAGAAGGTCGCTTTGTACCACTCGTAGCAATAGTCTGTATGAACGGTAGTTATTTTTTTTTAAACGGGAATTTAGTCAAATTGGAATTGTCTTTTTGAAGTCGGTTATAAAATTTATGTGGTATCGAAATCTATTTCTTGAAGTCGGTTAAAAGTTAAAATTACCCGGTTTCAGGCCTCACAAAGTCGGAGGAGTGCCAGTCGATGCCGGCGCTGATGGGCGTGGTGGGGGTGGGCGGCGGCGCGGCGGGGGGTGTTCTCGGGCTCGGCATCATCCCCGAGCACAGCCTGCTCGACTCCTGCACGCGACTCTCTATCTCGCTCGAGGAGAGCGTCTTCAAGGTATATCAGCAAGGCTTATTGATTAAATACATACATCTAGACGGAGTCGTGTTGTCGAGTTTTAAAAAACGTCTCATAAAACGATCATCTAACTGGGATTATAAGTTTTTTACCTTCTGAAAAGTGCACAATTTAAAATAAAGTTTGGCGGTTTTTGTCGAAGCTTTTTTAGGTAAACATTATAATACTTATATGAACGTTAATGAATCGAAACTAAAATTTGATGTCTGTTTGCGTTATCATGAGTAAGTGGCTGAATGTAGTCGACAAAATTTAATAACAGAGCTGTAGGTATTAGTTACGTTTAAATACATAAGGCATGAAAGCATGTTTGGCGGTAGAAACAATATAAACTTTCACGTTGAAACAATAGTAACATAGAGGTATGCTTATAGACGATTTGTACAAAGTCGCCCATTATTAGACGACTGTCTAAAAAAGAGTACTATTTTCAGAGTATTCCACCATAACTTCGATATGTCTGAACAGATTAGGGTATTGTTAGTATCCTTACATCATTCCGAGTGACACTAACTCTATTTTTTTAAAGAAATTGTTTTATAACATGTCAATTGTATTTATTTATTCTATATCTACCTACGAATGTTGCAATAATGGAAACTGGAAATTAGAGTGAGTTTCATAATTAGCGTATTGACTAATAAATTACAGGTGTCCGTCAGTTCGTCATCGCAATCGTCCCGCAGTAATTCCAGTCCGCACATGACACTGGAGGAGCTGCGGGCCATCAACAAGTATGCCGAGAGTACCAAGAGTCTCTCCTACTTGCCCCAGGTATGAATTCAGTGCTTATATTGAACACTTGTTAGGTGATACAAATATTTAAAAATGTAATGCTATATTTTGAATTATTGATGTGAAATGGTTGATTTTTAATAAATTGTCAAAACATAAGAAGAGAGGACATGTCCAGTGAAAAGCAGACAGTTTTCTGTTATCTTTGCCTACCCCCATCGGAATATACTGTGAATAAATAATAATAATATTATAAAATATAAAATCTGTATAAATCTTGTGCATTAGACGTGCTGAATTTGATAAGCAAGTGTAATCCTTAGGTGTAATTATATATTGGTGTAATAATACATTATAATAATATAATATCGCAACGTGACTATTTGTATATAATTCACCATTGCAAATCGAATCTATCCTCACACCCTAGAACCAGGGTGGTTGTCATTGGCATAGTGAGATGTCAGAGGAGCTTTCTCCCGCAAACATGTAGGTTGTGGAATGATTTTCCTACCGAGTTTTCTCTAGAGACTATAGCATGGAGTTCTTCAAAAAGGGCGTATTAAGTATTCTAAAGGGTGGCAACATAGCGTAAAAATATTTTGCCCAATATATTCAAATATCCTTCCATTGAATTTATTTCCGCTGATTTCAATGTGATGTTTCTCCAATTTATTCAAAAACTGTGATCACATCAATATTCAGAATGCGTTTTTGTAAGACTTTGACTTCTACGGTTTACTAGTTTATATATAAAACTATATATATTTAAATTCTAGCGCTCGCTAAAGGATGTTTTCTATAAGTGATGGTGACGAGAGTACGCTCAGTATCCACCTGTAGAGCCTACACTGTCGGGCAGTCTGTCATCTTTGTACTGTCTCTCATACACGGATCACTGGAAAATAAACCGTATGTTCCATCACAAAAGATGTGTATTCGAACCTTCACCCCCTTATAGATAGTAGATTTGTCTGTGTTATGAGATATGATAATGTTTTTACGTTGTTTTCCTTAAAATTGATTTTTGTATGACATATGTTTTATTTAGTAGCGGTCCGTGTCCAATTCTTATGAAATGCATGACCAATATCTGTTTTCTGATAAATATAATATAGGGCGATTGGCTATTCTGTATATGTAATTAGTTGTTTCAATTAGGAAGTTAAGTGACAGTCGACTAGACTGTTTGATGTTGACCACAGAACGCTTGTAATTAAGGTTGAGCACATCTGGGTGTTTTGGAGAACACGAGCTTCCAGCTGCACTCTTGTGATGCACAGACTGCATCAAATTGTCGGATCCGCTGTTGTCCGTACATCACTTCGTTATTTAAACTACGAAGGTTAGGTTAGGTCTTAGCGGCTAGTCATATTTATGAATAAAAAAATTGAATAACAATTCTAAGGTTATGGTATAATCATTCTAGTGGTATGCCGTATTATCAATTGACTAATAGTAGAAGAGTGAATACTAATGGAACTAACATTCTTGTTTCATGTTAACACATTAACAGTTTCCATAGTAATAAGGGTGGGTACTGTAACAATGTTCATGTTATTGTTCAGTTAATAATATTCTCATTTCTGATCATGAATTCATGTACCCCAAACATTTTTTACTCCGTTACTTTATTGTGAGGTAAATCTTGTAAATGCAATTATATGTTACGTATAATATATATTTTAATGGGGGTGATTATTTATTTATTGATTAGATGCGTCAGTCAAACGGTTAATAAGATGGTGGTTTGCAGGGTCGTAGCCAGGGAGTGAAGAGTGTAAAATAAATATTTCAATTTTATTTATTGTAAATCAATACATGACTTAGATTAAAATCGTGCTGTAAATATTATAGTTATATTTTTACAAGTGTTGAGAGCTAATACGTTCAGAGTTTACTAAATAATAATTTGAAGTCTACTTGGGACAAAAAAATTACACACAAAGTACTTCCAGATACATCTATATTCAGATCCATGTCTGTGGGAACAAAACAACACTTTGAATCCTGTTAATATTATATAATTAAAAGAGTTTGTTTGTTTGTTACCTTTTGGTATCTCAACTAATCGTTATGGGATTCTTCATGAATTTTTGTAGTATTTTACTTGAAAAAGGACAAAGCTACTTTTCACTCCGCTCAATCAATATTATCCCGGTTACGTGAATGAAGTCGCGGGCACAGCTAGTGGTTACATACAAGAAAAGCGTGGTGCTCCCGGCGCGGCCCGCCCGCGTGTTGAGGCGAGGAGTGCCGCGGCGCGAGGTGGTGAGGTGGTGAGGTGGTGAGGTGGTGAGGTGGTGAGGTGGTGGTTGGTGGTGCGTAGGTGCACGAGCGGCAGCGCGCGCGCATGCGCACGCGGTCGGAGTGGTTCCTGCAGCCGGCCGGCTCGCTGGACGCGGCCCGCCCGCGCGCCGGTACGGCCTCGCCCTCCCCCCCCGCGCACCCGCCCCCGCCCCCGACACTGCCACCGCCAGCCACCGCCGCGCACTGCGCGCCCCGCGGGCCCGTCCGCGACGAGAGCACGGCTCTCTACGTGCTTGTCGCCTGCCTAGAGTTTTTGTTCTGATCGCCCTCGCGCACCGGTACTGTGTTCCTGTGATCGTTCGCTTCGGTGCGGAGGACTAACCGGCTCGCTAGCTACCTGAATGCTTTATTCCTCTATTTCGTCGCATTGCGCAAAAGGTACCACCTGTCACGGAGAGATCCAGCTATGTATTATATATAGTTTATGGTGTTCTTGAAATTGAATTATTTTTCCCAAGGTTGAGATACGATACGCATTTTAAGCAACGCCAAAAAGGAGGCTATTCTCAATAGGCATATTTTTATTAAGTGTATGTTACGCAGTAGCTTCCCTAATTTTGGATCTATTTTCAAGCGATATTTAAAAGGAGATACAAAATAAATATCGCACGCTACACGCTAATTTACATTTATGGAGTGATAATCATACAATGATGATAATCAATGGGCATCAATCATAATTAAAACCTACACAGGAGACATTCATGGAATGGATGAAAATATAAAAAAAATGTCTGTATCTAAGGGATACTATGAAAAAGTTCGAAAGTCCGCAATTTTATATAATTTTAGAGGAATATAGCATTCATAATTTTACACATTAACACGGTATTTATGTTATGGGGGCTCGCTTTCCAGCTTACGCAAGCATGTTCACTATCGCAGTGCCCGATCTACTTATAATACAGCTTCGGGTTGAAATAAATATTTGCAGTGTACCGATTTTGCCTCTCTGGGCAATTTCTCGTCTGGCACCCCCTGGATCGGGCCCTGCACCATCGTACACTTATTCATCACACCTCCATAACGCATGTGTCAGTCTGTCTGTCTGCTCGCATTGTATTTTTGTTTTACTGTATTTTTATTATCCGTTGAATATTTATTATATATGTAAATAAAAAAGGGATAAATACTAATCAGTGTTGCTATTTACTATATTTGTTTTTAGATTGATATATTTTATATTGCTGTAGGTCTTTACTGTTTATTTGGTTACAAACCGGTTTCAATGTAAGTAAACTATCTACGATTAATAAATAGTTCAACCGTTATGGTCTTAGGTATGTTCACTTTATTCTAATGTTTCATTTTCGAATAGGGTTGCCATTGCCATGAAATCACGATTGATATTTATGGTTGACAACCATAAATTCAAGTAATTAAATTGCGTTATGCACCTGTGAGAATATAATATTTAATGGCTGCTCTACATAAGACTTGAAAACTTTTTAGCATGCTTTGTTATGCTAATGTGTTGTAAAGAAGCTGCAAATCACGTTATATCAAATCTTATGTGAATGTCATGTATTACCCGAGATAAAAAACACTCATTACAATAATCACATATAATACGTGCCTCTTAGACACATTATGTGCATAGACAAGTATTATTCATTTTTTTTTATTTAGATAATACGTTTTCGTTCATAGACAATTCGATTTGTTATGCCCAACTTTCTGATTGTCTATTATAATCAGGTACCCCATGATAGCATTATATTACCTGTCGTCCAGGTTTGTTACATACATCTAAATGCTATCAAAATCTGCATGTTATGCTTTGAAAATTAGGATCCTATTTTATTAAATGCGATAGTTCTCGAAATTAGCACTGTCCTACCGAAAAACCGGTTACGGACTATGTTGTATAGATTTGGTTAATTGATACGAATAATATTGTTATTTGTCTACGCTTTTGATGTATACTTGTGCAACGGCTATATAGAAATAGCATCACAGCAGTAGCTATTTCAATTAGCAGGCGTTTTCATTATAACGTGACGAGAATCACAGTTTCATATTTACATATTTTTGTCAGTATTTACATTTCAAATTATTTTGTACTTTTTAACAATAAATTGTATTAGTTGGTCATCATGTTTCTTTGATAAAATTTTAGCTTTTTTGCATTCGCAATATTTTTTTTTTAATTTAAAATATGAGAATGTGAATACTGCACTGGTTGTGTGCACTTAAAACTTTGATATTTTAAAGTATAAGAGCCCATACGCACTAGTGGCTGCTTTGAATGTTAATATGAAACCGCTGTGCGACTGGCTGCCATTTTGACTCATGCACTATTCGGGTCAGTATCGTTCTACGATTGTTTTCATAAAATAATTTCGTCTATATAGAATTTGTAGATAGCGCCAGTTGCGGCTAGACGTTAGTGCGTATAAGCCTTTATACTGGAAGTCACATTGCATAATTGTCAATGTTTTAGCAATTAATTATAATTATATTACATCATAATGCATATGGGTTATTTGTGGCATTTTTATTATTCTTACAATTTCTATAATTTTTAATATTTTTGTTTTTCATTCTCAGCGTCGATGCGAATTTATTATGACTATCGGAAGCCATGTATGCCTATCTATATTGGTTTATGTTTGGTAGTGATGATCAGATTGAAGTGATAATCATAAAATATACTTGTTGCAAAATCAAGAATTTAATAAAGTAGCAATAATTAATTTGTTTGCGACAATGTGTTGATTTCACGCATCGAATTGTCGACAATTCGAAGTCGAAAAAGACAATTTGGCTCTAAATTGTAGATTTCAGTTTGTGTAATGAGAATTCCGTATACATAACTATTTTACTGGTGTACCCATGTGTTTATTTAGTCATTTTATGAATAGAAAAAAAGTTTGAATTCTTTCAATGCTGCACATCACTGGGCTAATGAAAGAATGGAAGACACTGGTCTTTAAATGGTACCGACACAGGCAAACATTCGTTAGACGTCTCGGAACCGTCAATTTCGAAGCTCAATGAAACGTATTCGTTGGCCTAAGATATACGTAGCGTAGCACTATTGTGAACGCGAGCGTGGCATAGGTAATGAATTCGCATGGACGCACGGTGTCCGAGTGACGGGCCGGCAGTACTACTGGACACGCGACGCAGGTGGCGAGCGGCGCAGCTCGCGGCGGCGGTCGCGGCGCGCTCGCGTGTGCGCGGGCGTCGGCGTCGGCGGCGCCGCCTGCCGCGCCCTCACGCACTCCGACACTGAGATCCCGCTCGCTCTCCAGTCTCGTAAAGTGACGCCGCTCGCCTGACACGCCGCCTCCGCCGCCTCCGCCGCCACCCCCGCCACCACCGCCACCGCCCCCGTCGCCCCGCACTCCGCCCGCTGCCCCTGCACGCGGTAACTTCACACAGCAGACTCTAGGCGGTCCATATAAAAGAAGTCATGTCTACGCGTGTTCGCGTTCGGTTGGATTTACATTCATTCGTGTTTAGTATATTGGTATATGTCACAGTGGATCTATGTACAGATATAAAGTTTGAATTCGGAAAGTGGTAAGCGTTGCTTATAAACATGATTAACTCCAAAAAGTTACCTTTCCATAGACTTTTTTGGTTGGCTTGGTGTCCGCACTGAAACATTAATTGAATTTTAAAATGTTATCTGGAAAATATTCGGTATTTTCCAGTTATTATCTTCAACAAAATAAATATAAATTGTATGTTTATATTCTTCATGTGAATAGGTATATATTCAAATAAAATCAGTACATTATTTCCAAATAGCGTATTTAGTTTGATAACGCCGACGTTTGGATCCAATGTATTCATCTTTTATATGCAAAATAATGAAATGTTTGTATGTTCAACAAACCGCGAGAGGCGAGCGCTAGTACAATACATATGAACGTCTAAAGTCTGCTTTTTCGTAACGAGTACGTTACGAGAAATTAAAAACACGACCCCTATAATGGCACTAGATTGTATCTCTTAAAATTTTACATTAATATACTACTTATTGGCTATAATATCTACCATTGAAATTGTATTTTGAAACAACAACGACTATTTGTGTAGGCGTGTGTAGTCTTGTTTTGTCTGTATTGTATGAATGATTCAGCACCCACTATTCTATGTGTTTTTATTCTAACAATCAAGTGAAAGTATTTTACAAGACTGGCAACACCTCTATTACCCATCGAAATTTGAAAAAAAGTGACGTTTTGTATATTTTGGACGTTTAATATAAAACAATTGTTGTAACGTAAACACTACCACTAAAGTTTGGCATCTATTCTTTATACACGCTTTTGTATTAACAAAATGAAAGGTAATTAAGACGTTGCCAGTTGTACAATAGCTCGACTCGATCACTATGCCTACAATCAATGCGTATAGGCATAGCTGTCTAGTAGAAACTTGATCTACTTAAATATTTTATTATTAATAAACAAATTTATACAAAAAAGAACAAACTCAGACAAAAGCTCTCTATTTTGTGTAGTTAAATTATCAGAGACTTTTCGATTGTTTTTTTTTATTATTGATTATAAAATTCAATTTGGACTCAAATATATCTGTTAGGTATTTTATAACAAGTTTGTCGAAATAACTTTTATATTCTGAAGTGGGTATTATAAAGTAGTATTGCTAGGTATACGTCGAATAAACCTCGAAATTGTATTACGAAATATTATTGAGTAGGTCGTGTCACGATGCTTTGTATGTGTGCCATGAAGTTACGATATACTCAGCTTGATCGTGAAAACGCAACAAATAAATTATGGCCCATGTCTGTAAGACCTAAGTCTCTTTCATTTGAGCTTTATTATGTGTATAAGGAAATAGCATATTAGGAATAATTTCAAATGTATAAAAAGCACGTTACGATGGTTGTAAGCACTTCAAAATTATTGATAATTTGAGCTAAAGAGAATTTATTGACGCATAACACTGAAATAAAATCTATGTGTTATAAGATTACATTTGTATCTATCTGTATATACATGTTCAATGGAAATTGAAATATAATTTCAAAAAATCAATTTTTAATGCGGTGATTACAACTAAGATTAAAACTTAGTTCTTACAAATATGTGATGTAAATTCTTTTCAAAATGCAATATATTTGATCTTATTATAAATAATATATATATATTAGGGAGTCTCTACATACATAGGTATTTGTTTTCAATTTAGTTGATTTTTTTAAAAAATATCTCGAAGGTGTCAGGGTTGAATGAAAAGACGCTCAAATAAAACCAGTTGCAGTAAATGTCGTCGTTAATGTGATTCTAATGGCGACAAAATACATTCCTGTAAATAAATATTATTAGTATTATGTTTATAGCACGAATTAATAGAATAGTTTCTTATAACCTAAATTAATTTAGCAGAAACTCGTTCGCTATTTATAATAGTTTATAGAAGAGACCATTTACGTTTTTCTTTGTGCATTTTTTTTCTACCTCACTTAAACCGGTAGACGCTCATATACTGCATAGTTCATCATAAAAATCATTTCAAATATCTAAATTGTGTATGCCAAATTGAAAGTAATGAGATTGTGACAAAAAAATCTCGCCAAAATTAGCCAGAATTTTAAAAGACTGAGGTATCTTTGTATTTTTTTAAACAACAACCTTTTAGGACTCGTCTTTACAATTATTGCTACAATCTATACAATCTTGTCTATTATTGAGTAGTACAAATTGAATCAAACCGTTGTCGATTAAAATATTTGTCTATTAATCAATCGAAATTGCTGTTAGCACTCGAGGGCGACGCTACGAAACGCCATAAGGTGCGGTAGCGAAACGATGTAGACAGAGATAAAATAATAGGGATTTACAGGCAGGTAGAGCGAGATGCCAATACACGGTATGATATTCAAATTATCTGCAGTTTCGCGTATGTTGACTTCTCGTTCTATCTGTCACTGATTTTCTATACTATGTTGTCGTTTGTTCGCTATAGCAGTTCGTGTGTGCTAGCAGCGTAAATCTGTTTTATGGAAAATATAACATAGGGTGCTATAAAAATCTCTTATGAATGTAGTTATTTTTTTACATACGAAATTCACGTATAATTTTGTCTATCATCCCATAAATAAGAATCACAATTACAAGTAAGTATTGTTTAGAGGCGTCACTTATTTTTGTTATCTGTAAATATAGTTTAAAAGGTTATAAATGACCGAGTATAAACATGTCGTTATGCACATTGGTTCGCACATTATAAATACACTATAAGTTCATATATTTAAGACTGTTTTAGATTAGTAAAATTCAATGCAAGTCGAACGGTGTATTATGTTATAACAATGTACCTACGTGATCACAATAATAACTTGGCTATAAAATTATGTCTTAGCTTATATATTGTAATCTTGAGAGAGGCAGCTCAATATAGCTTTTTTCAACGTGTAATATAGTATAGGCGAACTAGGCTGAATTGCTAGCCATATTGAGTACCTTTAATGTTAGTTTTCATTGTGTTGTGAATGCTATCAAATTTATTAGAACACCAAACTTATTACGAGGTGATATGCGGTGCGATCAAAATTAGAAGATGAACGCCAGTGACATCGATTGCGTTGATACCGAATTAATATTAGCTTGGTATAGACAATTGAAAACTAGTTTTACAAGCGTTTTTTTTTATTAAAGAATTATTTCTTTGTTAGACTGTATTCGCAAATAATTTCGTGCGTTGCTTTTTGTAACTGTCACTTTAAAAGTACTGTTTGCGAAAAATCTTTAGCATTAGAAATCAACGATTTATATTGTTGCCTCGATATAAGTAGTCATTCTTATTTTGATTGCATTGTATTTAATTGATTAATGTGGACTATTGAGATTGTGTAACATTTAAGCCGATCCAGACTCGGTTCGTAGGATAGAGTGAGTGTTTGTTCCTCTATTAAAGAGGATAAAAACAAATTTTCTATAAAGAGGTCGTCCTTGCTAAAAATTGTAAGGTTAACTTGTCAATTCTTTTTAGTAAATATTGGGATGCGCGTAAATACCGTATTCACTTTGAAGAAGACATCGGGATGAAATAGAAATAGGTAACTAACCTAACTGTCAGAAATGACAAACACATTACAAGTAAGTTCAATAAATACCCGTTTAATTACGGTAATACGAGTATATTTTTTGCAAATTAGATTTTCATGTAATACATATTCTTTTCGGCAAGCAATAACCACAATATTTGATAGACAATTCTTAGTGAAGGCGACCTCTTAAAACGGTTTCTTTGTGACTTGCTAAGATCATCTGTATGCTAAGAGACAAAGAAAAATCAACGATTGAGAAAATGTAAACGAAAGATTAAAAAAAAAAAGATGTTAGAATATATTATCGAAGGTCTCAAATTTAAAGTTTTAAATGACACATTCGGACTATTCCCAGTAGTTTGATTATAAAGTGTAATATTTTTAATGTATTATTAATATTGTATTGGTGTATAATGATACCTGGCTTGCATTTCTTGGATGTATACGTCCAAGCTCCTGTGTTCATCGATTAGAAATAGGGTATTAAACGAATGTACCTAGTTGTTAAACTGTAGCAATTTTCAGAAATCAGGCCATTTGCTATTTCACTATGATAATTGTCATAATGGATCGAACCAGTTCTATATTCGTGTACCGATAACGGAGAACAAAATGTTTGTAAAGTAAATGTAGTTAAACATTACTAGCTATATACATATAGTCTTGTCTTTATTCAAGTGCGTCCTATTTTTTTTAAACAAATTAACGTTTTGAAGTTTATTATTAACTAAATACGAGTTTTTGTACAATAAAATATAAGTTGTTCTAATGTTTAGATAGTATAATTTTAATTTTATAAGACTGTTCATATGTTATTATAATTTATTACTAAAACTCGAATATATCACTACTTATCATTCCACCGACTTAAGTATTTAACGATACCAGATGCATTTTAAGTATTATTTTCTGTCATAAAATTTTTATTAATATAGATCTCAGAGCTTTAACAAAATTGTCACTGACTTAATTTCTATAGTATTTTGTATAGTTGAACTGAATTTGTACAATATAAATTTTAAGATGGGACTTGGCCCATCTTTAGAACAATACTTGTTTAATATCAATAAGATTTTTCATATTAATTACTTTCTTTTATAATTATTCATGTCGGAATTGATAAATATAATTCCTTTAAGTATTATTACTACGGTATTTGCTTGAGTTTTTATTGTCACATTATATTTGCACATTTTCTATACAAATTATAAAGAATTACACGAAAATAAAAAAGATATTTGAAATTGTTGTTTCATTCATTCATAGCGTTGATTCCTATCTTCAGTTGTTATAATTTTTATTTAATTTTTATCAATTTAATAAGTCTTTGACCTTCTTTCCTCTCACATAGACTTGCACTATGTTTCTGTCATCACCTAAATATACAAATCTCTGCAACAAAGATACTGCGTGCTCTGCTGCACTCTCCGTCGACTCGTACTCGTCTATCTGGCTCCCATTTACGTACACATCAATTAGAAGGGCGTCGAATTCTTTGCCGACGTCAAAATTGCCAATTTTGTCGTCTAATTTCAATGCTGCAAAAAGCGTACTTTATTATTAACGAAATTGAATGACGGGCCGTTTTATAATTAGATATATACCTACTAGTACTGTTAAAATACATACAAAAATACAGCGTAATTTAAAACTTTTTTGTATAGTTAGCTAATGTTTTTTTTATAAAATACCTATCAAAACAGACGTCACAACATTGAAGAACTTGTAATATATATTGTACATATTTTTTAGATTGTAATAGACAAGACCAAGCAAGCAGGAACAAACATGGTTTATCTAATGTTGCCGTAGAGTTTATGGATTTTTAGTTTTACATTTGTAAATAAATAAATAAATTTGCATTGCTGATTCCTGTGAAACATTCACGGTTTTTTTTTAAATTCCATGTTGTAAAAAAAAAAAACCACGAATTTATTCCGTAGCTTGAGTATTGGCAGGAGGAATATATGCTTGTGACACTTAGAATCATGAAAATATGTATAATGATCATATTGGACAGAGAAAAGTTTCTAGTAATAGTATCTCCTATTGTAATTGGTCTAATATTACCTCTAGCTCCCCCCATAGTCGCCAAATAGAAGGCCTCCTTCCAACTGATGCTGTAATCGTTGTTCCCGTTTAGCTCTAAATGGGTCGACACATCCATTGCTCTCCGCATTGCATCTATTATTGATGCATTATCGCCGCCCGATACATCTAAAAATGTATGTATTTATAAGTAACAGAACAGTCATTCGCTGTGTGGTCCCCTAAAGCTTAACTGCGGTTGCTAACGTGTTAGGACGGAGGCCTATGTTTAGAAGTGGACAGTTAAAGACTGTCATTATCATTAAAATAATCATATCAATAGAATGGCGCATCCGCCTATACAAACAGTGTACAATAACGAGGCACCAGTGCAGGATGAAACATTGGGGTCGATACTGTGATGCAATATCTTTAAAATAAAAATTTCATTTTGCTATCACAGCGAAATAGTATAGTTGACTACAATAAGGAGATCCTCCTTCTTGTAGTCAACTATAGGTACCAATCGTCTAATCTTCAGATTAGGTTAGATTCCTGTGTTATGAGGGACCAGGCGATGAACATCTGGGGGTACTTTCCAGAACAACCAGACTTGAGCAAATTTAGAAAACTTCGTTTCCTAAATTGGTCCGACCGGAAATAGAACCGGGGATCTTATTTACGCAAAGCAACAACAGAATAGGCAAGTAAATAAATATGCAAAAGGATACCTGTTCCCAGTCCGACTGTAAGGTTGTTATCTAAGTATTTTCTTACTGGACAGAGTCCAGATTTGAGTCGGGTATTAGAAGCTGGACAGTGCGCTATTGACACACCCTTATGAGCTAATAACCGTATTTCTTCATCAGACAGATGTATTGCATGGGCCATGATGCACTGTTAAAGATAATTGAATTGTTTACATAAATTTTATTAAATTTTTATACCACTGAGGTGGCAAACAAGCATATGGCCCACCTGATGGTAAGCGGTTATCGTAACTTATGAAAGCCTGCAATAACAGGGACATTACGTGTGCATTGCCGGCCCTGAAGAAACAAGCATAAAGAGTCCTTTTTTAGATTTTATTAGATTTTGGAAAAACCTCAGCATTTTATAACCTGAACGTTCGTGGGATTAAACATATTTGAAACCGCGATGTACGCATCCACCTAAGTTCTAAGGTATGGGGGTGAACTTTGAAGATGGCAAGCCATACCATGGTAGAAGATGATATGAAATATTCTTTGAAAATAAATAATTAATCCTCCGATTAATGTTTGTATGAAAAAAATGTAACTGTCCAACAGTTATTTTTTATTTTTTTAAAAGCAGCTATTTTTCGTATTTTATACCTATTTCCTCCATCCCCTAGCAGTCTAAAGACAGATATATTTTTCTTTGCGGTATTTTTGGGGTAATTTTTAATAAGTAAATAGAGTAAAATTTTTAATGAGTAGGCTCATGAGATGCAATAAGATGTCGGACATTGCTGTCTAGTTCCATCTCATGTACGCAGTAGAGATAACGTATTTATTGACAGGTTCATTTAACATTTGCCTGGGAGAACTTTTAGTACTTACATACTGTGTGTGGACTTACTCTTTCATTTAGAATTTGACACTTGTTATAAACACCTGAATATGTTTTACAATCCGAATTCATTTTTAAAACGTAGTCCACTTCGTCGCGGTTTTCTGATAGGTGACTCTGCAAGTATAATTTTTTTTTGTTAAAATTTAGAACGTAATTATCTACATAGACAAAGAATAAACGTGAAGAAATTTGGTGAAGAAACAAATAAACGTTTATGTCCAGGATTTTCTATCGTCGACGTTATTAACGTAAGAATTATATAACATATACAACCAATAAAGAAAACTAAATAAAACCACCTGTATATTTTATTTTACAAAGGTTAGTTTTTAGTAGATAGTACCTATTTATAAATTAGGTATTATATTTTAGTTGAAGGTCATCAAAGACATCTGAGTCGTGATATTCGTGACATCGTAAATTCGTAACTTTTAGAGGTGTCATTGTCTAAACTTATCTCTACAATTTAATTTTTTATTTGGTAGTTAAAAAGTATGTTTTAGATAGCGTAGTTTTGACAAATCTATTATCTAATGCTGGTTATTGGAATAAATATTTATCTGATATATTGTAAACTAAATTTGAATAATAGAGATAGTGTGTTAACTCTAAAGATAATAAGCTTGAGTAGAGTTCACCTAAATTGTTCTGTCGATCACACTAACCTGAATTCTGCACTGATATTTCTGTGATATATTTGCTAATGCTGTTAATAATTCTTTATCACAGCTGACTGCGAATCTTGGAGTTACAACGGGTTGCACCAACTCGTTCTGAAAAGAATTAATGCCATTTATATTTTGAGTTATTAATGTAATATATATGCAATATTTTGCATGTATAATATGTATCATGTGAAAGCATACGTTCCATTTTCAATAAAATTTTACTTATGCATAGATAAGGCGACATATACTTTGATATCAAAGTGTCTCTTCAAAGATGCACGAAATATTGATGAAATAAATTACTGACTTCAATTTTGAGTAAGTTATGGAATACAAACAGTAGTAAAAGTAAAATATTGCAACAGGGTCGTAGTTAGACCTACATATATTTATGGTAGGGCAAAAGAATTTTCTGGTAGAGAAGAAGTCATAATTAATTGATTTCGAAAATACCGAAACTGTCTAATTTTAAGGTATTGGGCCTTTCATTGGGCCTTATAATGTAGGGCATGGCCCTTCAATGACTCCCCCCCCCCCTTGATTACGGCCATGCATTGCAAGTAATTGTTTCATTATAGGAAATAATTAGTTTGTAAACACCGATTAAGCAGTAGATACCTATTTGTTTTTACCTTATATTTGAATACTTCTTGGATGAATTTTTCAACTTCTTCTATTTCTTTCTCAGTATTATTGTAATATCCGGTATCATTTTTGACATTCATGCTTACTTTGCCTATCAGTGCCCTCTGGTTGCGCTTTATAGCAGTTTTTACTAATTCCAGAGTGCCCTCCAAGTGCAGTGATCCGAAATAACAGGCCGTTGTGGTACCGTTCGTTAAAAGTCTTTGCTGAAAAAGGCATGAGTGTAGAATTTTCACGAATTATGACATATTTGCTATGTATAATCCGCCAATGTAAATGTATACTAGTTTGTTATATTAGACCTACAGCACCTGATACCTATTAAACTCTGCTGGTTATTTAAAGCAAATCCTATTATGATTCATGTACAGGTTTTAACCCTAAAAATACGGTGGCTGTGATCTTGGTCATCATTAAAGGCCTTTAAATATACATTTATCTACTACTAATCAAAGCTACAAATCAGTTTATAAGTCCCTATTTAATGTATAAATTGGTTAATGGCAACTTTGGAACAAAAGATTTTTTTTATAAAAGTGCTCAATAGGACTATTGGGGGGAAAGGGATTGTTAGTAATGGAGACTAAAAATCCCATTGCTAGCAATATACCCAACCAGGTCGACCTCCTCGCGGTTCCCTCTGGAAACTATCATGGTTAATTCCTAATGAATTCATCATGATGGGCTAACTGGCCTGTTTTCATTCTCATCGATCACCCTTCACTGGTGCTCCGCCAGCGTATCCCGTTAGCGCAAGCGGGGTTACTATACCATTTTCATCCATCAAAAAAAAAACAGTATATAAATCCCTATTTATAATATATGAATAAATTGGCTAATGGCAACTGGAATAAAATATTTTTTTATAAAAGGTATATGCTCAATAAGTGACTATTTGTTCTTCTAAATAAAATTCATTTATTAGTTCTACTACAATAGATACTCTATACTATGATAAAGTTTGGGATAGGCATATGATTATGACTTTGCAATTATGATTAAAAAATTTCAAAGGGGATGGAGCTTGAATCCGTATCTTCTATGTCTACAGTTTCTTTTGTATATAGTTTATAGAGTTCATAAATTACAATATCGTGGCTATGATAAGCAGTTATGCGGACGAGATAGACTTTGAGAGTAGTTTTAGCTTCGACTTTTAGTCCCTTGTAACCCTTATATACAAATCTTCAAGTATTTCTTTGGCCAACAAAGTTTCATGAGAACGCAATGTCCATTATTTGCATATACTTACAACCACAGTGTCGTAAACTTTTGCTGCGAACTCCAAATTGCTGTAGCGTTTCTCTAAAGGGAATGTGTACTTTGATAGCCATTCTAACAGTGCACGATCTAATCCGAGACCTATATTGGGGAATTGTGGGGCATGTGTGTGACAATCTACAAAACCCGGTATGAGGAACTGGTCATTCTTCAATTTAATTATGTTGTAGTCAGAAAATGTTCCCGCATTATTCATGGCTTCAAATTCAGCAATGGATCCTTGCCGGGTAATCTGAAAAATATCGGCAAATATCCATAGAAATGTGCTAGAATGGTGATTATAATTAAAATATATTTATTTCAATTCGATGGCACCAATGCACATACTAATAAAAAAAAAAAATCTAATATAAATACTTAATTAAATACACTTTCGTTCGCTCTCTTTTAAATGTGAAATTTTTAGGTATTGCATATAATCTAAAATTAGTTTTACGAGTCTAAATCTATAAGTTTTAATACAAATTGTCAAATCTGTATTTATTAATTACTATATAGGTTCATTTGTGAAAGACATACCAATTATATTTTCAATGAAAAACGTAGGTAGTTAAAGTTTAATTTGCTGTAAATCACATGTTAGAAACTTTGGATAACCCTTAAATTTATAACAGTTATTAAAGAATAAAAATTCTATATTGTTCATACCTATACCTACAATATTAAAAATATTAACCTGCTTAAAGATGTCTAGAATTTATTTGAATAAAATAAGACAAAAAAGTGTACCTTTCCATGTTCGACAGCCAAGAATCCAGTAAATATTGATAGATCTTTTAGAGATTTTGAGGAGGCTAGTAAACCAACAAACACAAGTTTCTCTTGAACCATTTTCTGACTTCTAATAATTATATCAACGTATACTGATATCTTATCAAAACAACGTGCTTGATCCGCGGTGACAAGAGCGTACTGAACTCTTGCGTTAATATTGTTTGTAGTGAGGAAAAGGGATAAAACATCTCTGACATTGTCTAGAGTTGTAAACCGGTAGGTACTATACTTACATATTTGTGGAGTTCAATTAAGAACAAGAATGGAATTTTATTATTTTCATATAGGTATATATATATTAGTTTAATTTTTTTTAATGACACTATTCGTAACTTTCTGCTACCCATAGGCATTTTTTTTTCCAATAAAAGCAGCTTTATCTAGTTTTTCGTTTATTGAAAACTGTTAAAACAAGTAGATGTCGCTGTACATAAAATTAATACTTCTTGTGAAACTTACGCCATATTGATTATGCGAAAAAGCTTTTATTCACTAATATAATAAAATTGTATGATTATATGTTTTCTGTGCATGGGAGATATTTAAGTATGTATAGCTACTTAATATTTATCGCATCAATTACTTGGTGATCGATAATAGTTAGTGTGTTTTTAATAGATATTTATTATTTGGCTTAGATTATATTTTTAGATTATATATTTTTTTTAATTTAAGGTAATGATATTTTTTTATTAAGAACTGTGTCTCGTCGTATTTATTTTGTATAGTAGTTGATGCCACGAAGCTTTTGCTTGTTCGACGCCCGATTGCCAACTCATAAAGCAGTTAGCGTGAGCATTTTGTACCCAGAACCGTGAGTTGGAAGTTGCTGCACGTGCCAAAGCTTGCTCCAAACGATTGTGAGTTTTTGACGCTTCTTCTAATGCCTGTAATTTTTAAAATATTAATTTTATTACGTTAACTGTCGACAGTATTAACAACGTCTAATTATATTTAACATTTTAAATCTAACTTGACTGAACGCTGTATTGGCTGCAGTATGATGTCCAGATAAATACAAGGAGTTGGCTTTTAATAATATCCAACGAGGATATATGGTGCGCATGAGACGTGCGTCTTTCTCAAGTCTTGTTAGTTCCCTGTCAGCTATAGATCGCAGCTCCATTAGATCAACTACCTGTAACAAATAATATAAATATAAAAAAGATATATTTCATACGATATTATATTTGGATTTCTAAATCAAAAGCTTACTTTTTTGAGATCATTCACTTTTCTTGCTAAACTTTCTAACATTCCTTCAGCAAGTCTCATGGCACTCAAGAGGGTTGTTAGTGAACTATCGTCATTTTCACGTGCCGTCCAGCTAAGGGCTTCTGATTCAAATCGTTTCGCTTTTCTATCAACATCAGCCCGAAGCCAATAAGTCCACAAATCAACGATAAGTCGTCGACGACTAGGACCGTCAGACACTTTGTTTAAAGCATATTCGGCAAAACGACTGATTTCATGCGGTGGTTCTAATTGAAATCCTGCATCTAATATCATGTCCATACAAAGAGCATAATACCAAGTTTCAAAATCAAGTGACATTCTATTTTGACCTATTCGAAGTGTTATCTGGAGAACGTCAACAGCTTCTTCTATACGACATCTTGCCAGTAAAATATAGAATAGGTCCGGTATAATATCTAAAGATACACTGTCAGCTTGAAGAAATCGGCTTATTGTTATTGACCGAAAACCCGAACGAATAGCAGCCACAAGTTTACCCTGAAACATGCGTGCGCGAAAAGTAGACAAAAAGAGTTTGCCAACCGCGCAAAGTTCATGTGCTTGAATTGGTCGCGACAACTCTCTCAATATCAAACTGGCCAATCTTTCGATTTCCAAAGTTGACTCTGGAGTCCCACGATCCAATTCCACTTGTATAGCATTACTGAATGTGTCACACATATCTATGACATTACATTCAACTTCCTGCACTAAGTCAAGCGCGCGAAATGCACATATTCTTGACAATTTTTCGTCCTCCAATGCCGAATATAATAGAGTTGCAACATTTAAACAGAATACGGAATCTGACTTTAAAACCATTTTATGAGTGCGGTGTTTTCGACGTTTGAATTTGAATGATCTGAATAAATGCCTTATTTTAAAAAATTCTGATATATTAAGTAAGTTTAATTGATATATCCTAGTAGCACGCTCCATTTCTAATTTTGCAGCTGATAATTTACCATTTAGTAAATGTATTGCAGATTTCAAGGAAAATATTTTTCCCAAAAAAATACGTTTATCGAATTTCTTCAAATAGAGCGGATCTGGTCCTTCTTTTTTTAAACATAACTCCTCTGCTTCTTCTAGCTTTGGCAGAGCGACGTCAACATTGTTATTTAGTAAATTTAAATAAGCAAATTTTATCATAAATTCAATTGCTTTTATTCTCATTTCAGCTTTTTGTGCATGATAGATGAGTTGTTCACAGTTTACTATATTTAATTCTCCACAAGCACATTTATTAAAATTTGTTCGAGACACACCCTTTTCAATTTTTATGCAAAATGATTTTTTATTTTTATCTATATTGTTAATATGTATTTCATCTTGACTGTCCGTAACTCCAAGACTCTGCCATTCACTTATAGTACTAGCTTCTGTCACAGCTCGTAACATATCGAATATTTTGTAACGTTGTTCATCCTCGGAACTTATTTTTTTAAAATGAAGTTCAGGCATAATTACTCTCTTAGTTGATCTCCTACCGATATCGGTATCGACATCGCATTTTGTTTTCAATATAGATGTGTATGGTGAGGTTCGATTTTGTGAGTTTAAACTATGCACTGAACTACAGTTATTTTTGATGTCACTGGTGGCTAGTGCTGTTTCATGTTTTTTCGATTTATTTGATGACTCTGATTTTGATACTTTTAAGTCAATTACTTCTTCAATAGTGTTATTTTCAGTTATACTAATTGTTTCCACTTCCCATTCTTCTTCATCATCTATTATGTTACTGTCATCTCTTTCGTATGTAATATTTGGTTGAAAGTTCATAATAGATTGCACTATCATAAGTTTGCCACCACAATCTAGGCATTTTTGTATGCTATTTTCTAAATAACTTACTATACGGGAGTGAAATTCTTTTTTCTGGTTCATAGGAAGCAATTCATAACATGTTTTTCTAGAATTCTTGTTTCTAAATTTCATAACTTTACAAAACGCATATTTTGGTAGATTTTCATTATCTTCTGGATCATAATCAAAAGGACACTGGCATATTAGATTGTAATTTATGGAGTTATTGGATAATATATTTGATGAATATTTTCTATTCCATTTTGTCATCTGAATATTTGCACATGACAAAATTCTCATTGCAAAGAGTCTTTTAATAGCTTTTGCAGTTGTAATAGTATTGTTTTCGTACATGATATTTTCTAAGAGGTCTCTTGATAATATGTTTCCAATAACTGAAGCAATTTTCAAAAGAAGCTGTTGATACGGAGTTAACGAATCTATTTGAATCATTATTAGAGCATCTATATTTTGTACATTTATATTTGTTTTTAACTCTTCCTTTTTTGTAACTATACAAACTGATATTTCATCTGTGCAGTCTTTTTCAATTAATTGATCAAGAGTTGGTTGATCTTTTGCATCGAGAGCCTGAGGATGTAATAAAGTTGACTCTGGAAACTGTAAATCTTCGTTTGTCCAATTTTCAATTTCATTATTTGGAATTTTCTTTATTTCTAAAGCACCACTTGAAAATAGATGTACAATGAAACTTTCAATAAGACCAGGAGATCCATTGCATTTTGTTCTCAGTGTATTACATAAATCGCTTGGTACTGCATCCACGTCCAAAATTTGACAGGCTAATGCAGGTATCCAAGTAGAAGTTAACGGAGCAAGGAAAATTTTTCTTATATTATCATTAATAAAAACACTATAAAGCCAATTATGAACAGAACTAAATTTACCACGTGTGACTGATAATACGGTAAATATTTTCATTGCACTGAGCATGATAGATATAAATTCCCAGGAGGATGAATCTAAATTTTGCAAGTCATTCAAGAATATGACATGCGTTTCTAATATAGACTTTATTAATTTTGTAAAAATCTTTTTTGCCTTTTCTTTTCTTTTGTTCTCATCTTGAGAATAAATTCCTTCAGGATATGCGAAACGTACTTTGATGATATTATTTAAATAGCATAGATCTTCGTGGTATACTTTTAATAATTGTACAATTTTTTCTTCTTTTATAAAACCTGTTATAGGTTCTTTCAATCCTAAAATTTGATCAATGATTTGACTAAGAGCTAAGTATGGGGTAGCAGAATGTATTGATGTAAGATTTATATAACATACTCTATATCCACTATTTTTTGAGTAGCGAGCCATCCATTCTAATATTCTTGACTTCCCTATACGTGATTCACCTACTAATAGAAGAGCGTCGAAATCTTTACATGATAAGTGAGAATTATCAAGCCAATTTTGAAAATATTTCATTTCGTCAGTTCTATTTAACAATGGCGGTATCATTGGTATATCATATAACTCCTTTACTCTGATATCCTCCGTATATTCATAAATTTTACCAGGTTTCATTATTCCTTTAAGTTCTATTTTTGGTTGTAAAGTAAAACCGTTTGTAGACATTTTACTTTTGATATATGTGTTTTCATCGCAAGTGATTTTATTACGAAATCCACACATTAGTCTGGCAGCTTTGTTGACTACGGCACCAATGACAGTGAATTCTCTCCGTAAGGGATGTCCAACGACACCGCAGTATACTTGTCCTGTTGTTACACCTATAGAGACTTCTATTACCCCATCTAGGGCTGACACTGATTTTTTTATACTGTAGGCACATTTAAGTGCCGCCTGAGCTTCTGATTCATGTTTAAAGCCACGTAATCCAAATATTACCAAAATCATAATATCCTTATCAAAAAGTATTATTTTGTTAACACACCCCATAGACTTATAAACAATTTCACAAGTGATTTTATATGCGTTATTAACAATTGTTATTAATTGTGGGAAGGAACATTCTTTAGGCTTCAAAGTTATAAATAAAATGGAAACTTGTCTCATCTCTGTCAAATATTCAAGTGGTTGATGGGCATCTATTTGAGTAAGAATAGGTCTTATCATGAATTTACGTATATCGGAGCCAATATTTTTTTTTTCAGCTATTAAAATAGATTTACGTAGACTTATTGTTTCGTTTCGTTTTTGAATGTCTATAGCATTTAGAGATTTCGATGAATCCCAAAAAAAATCGGGCAGATTCTCTATAGCAGTGTATGGTTTTTTAATTTGTCTTATTAAGGGTCCGAAGCCTACAAAAGGTTTGGTTACGTCTTTTTCATGTGGATCATACAGAATTGATTTTATTGTGACATGGCCATCTTTGTGGATCATATGATCATAGTTTCTTGAATAACAGTGTCCCCAAGCAGTAGGTGTTAACTTCACCTCTCCAGAAGAACAGACGCTTTCAGCTAATTTAGCTTCAATAACTGGTAATCCGAAAATAATATAGTTCATGTCTAGTCCACTACCAATAGGGGAAAATATTAGATTTCCGGCTGAAATAGCTAATTTTACCTTTAAATTTACTTTGACATCTGTTTCATAAGATCCATAAAAATGTTGTATAATTAAGGCACAAGCTATTACTGTATGAATGGTATGGCATAGAAAGGTACGTTTGTCTGTCTTCCAAAGAGCCAGAAATGCATCTCCAGCAAACTTGAGAATGTCACCCCCATGACTGTAAATAAGTTCAATAAGAGATCCGAGGTAGGTATTGAGAGTGACTGTAAGACGATAGGTGCCACCTTTACCAATATTGCTGTATCGTTCTGATAGTGCGGTGTAGCCAGAGACATCTGCCATTAGTAGCACACCAACAAATCGTTTAGGATTTGATGGGTCGAATCTGGAATTGTAAAATAAAAATTAACATTTGAAGAATAATATTATGATAAAGACAGCGTCTTTATACATGACAACATTAAGACTACTCTAACATTCGACTTATTTATTTTTGTAGAAATAAAAAATATCCTACTAATATAGACGTGGTATGTAATTATAGTAGACCTACTGACTGACTGGCGATGTAATCATGAAATCGAGACCAAAAATAATTACCCAGATGTGCGTGTTTTGTAAATGTTTACATGTGACAGCTCGAAATTTAAATGAAACTGAAGTAAATAGTAAAAATTCATGCACTTGTAACATTTTTAATTTCAATTCGTTGACATTCAGAAGTTTATTTGGGTTAAATTATATGTGTTTTTCTATCAATTTTTGTACAAAACAGTCGAGGTATAACTAACTATATTCATTTAAAACTAAATTAATTTCAAAACGTAGAAATAATTAAAACTAATGATATCTGCGTTTCTGATTGGTTCTGTGTTAGGTAGGTACTTTTCATAACTTGAGAATTCATGTAAGTGGAAGGAAGAGCTTTTAAGTAAACAGATCACAGTTGCTAATTATTTTGTGTTTACATTGTAGATCTAAATATTTATCTTTATATAAGCAATCAAAAGTAACTACAACTAGTAATCTTTTGATCATCAATAAACTACGTCTATTTATTACTTATCCATTATTATTATTTCATCGGGCACTAGTGTTGACAGTATAAGAGTCTGTTTCTTTGTGAGTTGCACTTCTACATCTTGATCTGACTTGTTTGGACATACACTTTTACGGTCGAAGAACTCTTCTACCCAGTCTTTGATTTCGTTGTATTCTGGTTCCTCATCTTCTGTATCTTCTTCGACACAGTTCGTGTTTATATATGATATTCTTTTTCCATAATGACGCCATTTCTCTGTGTTTAATACAACATTCATGGAATTCCTACGGGATCGGCCGCGAGTCTTTCGAAAACTCATTTTTCTTTTTTTCTATTGACTTTTACATGAATTTTGTTTATTTGTCCAAATATATATGTCAAAATTAACCTTCGGAAAAAATCTGTATGGTTCCGATAAAAATATATATGTATATTTGTTAGTTATGCCAAAGAGCACAGTTGTGATTGTATTTTAGGATGAGGTTTATTATTGCAAATGATTTGCGTTTACAAATGTTGTCGTAATTTTACAAGGTGGGCTTAAAAATAAAACGATATTATTAATTACGTTTTCAATGCAGTTACTAATATCAAAATCACAATGTTATTTTTTCATGGATTAAGAATAATAGCCGTGATTCGGTTTTTTTTCTGTTCATAATAATAAAAAATCTATAGAATTATTGAACTTTAGAATCAGACCGACAGTAGTGAAACGTGGGAGGAAGTTGGTCTCGGTCCTTCAGAAGCAGGCCTCCCAAGGAAAAACCCCAAAGGAAGGAGAAACTAGCCAGGCGTCTCAGCTCAAGGCGAATGGGTGCCCTCGTCCGAGTAAGCTCAGGTTACCCCGCTCGGCTGTGGTAGTCATGTCGCTCCAACCGGATGCAGAGGTGAAGGGCCTGACTTACGCTGGGGCACGGAGGAGGCGAAGGAGGCCGGTTCGTGATTGCGGCCTTTTGCCTCCACCAGGAGAATTTAAACCACTGCAAGCGCGCTCAAGATTTAATAATGTAGAGCGCAGTGGAGTGGCAGGTTGACACTCTTGTTGCCGCTGAACCATACCAAGTTCCTCGTTGTGACATATGGTTTGGCGACCCCGATGGCCTTGTCGCTATCACTGGGCCGAGGGTCGGTCCACACTGGACGCTTTTTTGCACGTCAAGAGCCCCTCGGAGGAGGTGCTAGAGACCCACTGCTAAAAATAGATAGCAACAAGAAGCGAAGAGCTGTCTAAGGGTAAAAAACCCTGCTGTAATCATAATGTAATATTTGTTTAGTGTAACCCGACAATGTAAACGTATTAGTTATTTACACGAGACTAGAAATGGAAATTTTTATTCAAAATGTTTTCACGTGTGACAAATCACATACTCGTACAGTGATGTTCGTTGGATATGACACCTAGCTACTACTTGCTATAGAAAGAGAAATATGAATTATGAATATTTTTATGATAAGGACGAGCAAATAGAAACTGTAGTGTGATAGGGAGGAAAGGGATTGTTAGCAATGGAGTTTGACAGCCCCATTACTAGCAATACACCCTATCAGGTCGACCTCCATGTGGTTCCCCCTGGAAACTGGAAACGTGAACAATTCTTGTTGAATTCGTCACGATGGGCTAACTGACCTGCTTTATCTTCAACTATCATCTTTCACTGGTGCCCCACCGGTGTATACCGATAGCGCGGGTGAGGTTACCATTTCATTATCAACCCCTAAAAAAAAGAAACTGTAGTGTGATAATAAAGTCTCTATTCTTTCGCTCTGTACGGCCCAGTCTGCCATCTGTTGCGACTCACTTCATTGCTAACTGAGCGCAGCCAATGACTTACTAATAAAACCGACCATAGCGCCCACACTGGCGATTTCATTTTAGTGTGATTTGTAGCGTCTTCGTGAAGTAACGTATTTGTAGTAACGTATGATTTGGCGTATGCATATGAAATGTAACATATGATATGTGAAACGGTCTAAGCCTACGCTAGATCTTACTCATAGCGCGAAAGCGCGTGGTGATGGATAAATGAATAGCCTTCTTGATAGTTTCTATTTTAGTTTTTAATTTAATAGTATCACAGAGAAAACTTAGGTACATTACATTATCATAGATAACTTGCAATGCACTGTTTACAATACAGGTGTTAACATCATAGTTGGAATCGGTTCTCCCGTACTACAGGTGATAAAGATGAACTACGTTCGGAAACACATTACAAGAGCTTTATTAAACTCGGTGGTTTACGCACAGCAAATCACTTTGTGATTCATATAAAGTAAACTTTTTAACTTTTCTAAGCTACCCCAAGAAAGATATCTGCATTATCTGACACTTTGCAAGTGCCTACAATTAATTTTATTAGATCGAAATTCCTTTTAATGGAGAGTTGTCTTACTTTGTATTTACATGGTCGCCACTCAAAAACCTTTTTTCCATGTCTTTTAGTAAAATATATTTTAAGGAACAATTGCTCTCCATTCTTACTATTATAATGTTAATGACGTTAATGATCAATATTCATTTATTTACTACGAAAACGATAATTAAGTATAATGTTGACATATTTATTGATACAAATATATAAGTATACATTAGGCGACCAATATTAGAGTAGGTATGTATACTGTTGCAACACAAAGAGGTCATAGCTTAGCGGGGCAACCTTGCTCGCAGAACATCCGTGTTTATAATAGATAGGTACCATATAGTATTTTAGACAATTGAAAGCTTCCTAATTACTGCTACAATGTTATCTAACACTTTGTTTTTTTTTTTCAAACACGTAAAACTGTAAAGAATTTTTGTTAATTTATCTATAAATATACATTAGACAGATAAACAAAAATTGTCTTAAAAAGAAATTTTTGATTCTATCGGTTTCTTTATGTATGGTAATGCAATGGTAACCTCGTTCGAGCTATCGGTATACATTGGAAGAGTACCTATTTTTTTATTTGCTTGCGTTATTAGTGTACGTTGGCGGGGTACCAGTGAGGGATGATAGGTGAGGATGAAAGTAGGCCAGTTAACCCATTGTGACGAATTACACTAAAATTAACTGCGATGGTATCCAGGGGGAACCGCGTGGAGGTCGACCTGTTGGGTGTATTGCTGGCAATGGGTCAGTTAGACTACCTAACTTACTCCTTGTTACTAACAATCCCTTTCCCCCCTAGAAGAGTATCAGTAAGGGATGATAGATAGGTGAGAGTAAAAGCAGATAAGTTGGCTCATTCTGACGAATTCATCAAAAATTAAATATACTGGTCTCAAGGGGAGACTGCTCCATAGTGGATTCAATGGGGTACATTTCTGGCAACGGGGCTGCTAGTCTCCGTTAGTAGCAATCTCTTTCTCCTTGTCTGATAAAATAGGTGGAATTCGATCTAATAGGTGGTAGTATAAATAAATGCTATAATATATATAAGTGAGGAGAGTGTATAACGCCACTTTTGCATATTTTATCGTATAACAGTGCAATAACGATAAAATTATTAAGGGCAACAATATAGTTTGCAATGATAAGCTGCATTAATTAATCATTTAATGAAAAGTTTATTAACTTTTAATTATTTGTCTGGTAAACAACTATAATTCATTTTGCACAATGGAAATAGCCTCTATTTACATTATGTGAAGTATTAAGTTTGTTTTCATCAGTTCACCTCTCTGATTGTCTGTGGAAATTATGAATGCGATAATTGCGAATGGCTTATGTTGGCAACACTTTTACGACTATAAATATCACTGGAGCGATTTCAATGCAATAAGAATATTACTTATTAATCTTAATAATAAGCATTTTTAATAGTTTTTTTTTATGATTCTAACTTCGAGTCTTGCATAGAGCTTACAACTACATAGTAGTTCTAGTATTTGTAACAAAGTTGCTTCAGAATATTACCATTTGTTATTACCAGAGGGAGACTTTGTACAAAAGTCGATTGCTTGGGTACCTCTGTCCCATTCGTGTTTCTACCGTGAAGCAGTTGTGTTTGCATGGCTGTGTTTCGGTTTGAAGGGTGGGATATGGCGTGAATTTACAGGGTACAGAGGAATAACATCTGAGTCCTCAGGAATGGCAACACATGGGAGGTATCATGGGCGAAACAGTATACTCTGTTATGTCCATGGTACCGCTCAGTGGGCCGTCAGCTTGTTTGCCATTCTAAGTTGTATAAAAAAAACTGTTATTGGAAATCAAAATGTTGTTGATTCTACAAAACCATTCTCTAAATTGAAAAATTGTCTAAAATGAACATTATAATTCTTTATAAGGAATATATTAAATTTAAACTAAATTTAATATATTCCTTATTTAAATTTATTATAAATTTCATTCATACCGGTCTTTGGAATAAAGATTTCTGTTTTATAGAATTAAAATTTTAATTTTAGAGATAGATATTAAAATATTATCATAGGATATATTGTAAAACTTAGATCAATAGTCAAAATATAGCGTCTCTCTACAACCGCTTCAGAAATAGCCTTGCTTTTTTTTTAAATGGGATCGTTTTTAAAATTGTTTAATCAAAATTAATCTTGAAAATGGTAAACTATATGACAATCCGTAATTTATTTATATCTAATGTTATCAATGTTATATGGGCACTTATCAGATTCTCGTGTACACTTATAGGAAATAAAAAATTTGTAAATTATGTAATAAAATGCGTCGTTTAATAGGTAGCTGAACGTTTTGTAGGCCTTTTTTTGACACTAGTGTCTACATCTAATTGCACTTATGAGTTTTTGACTCAAAGGGCTCGTTTTGTTTTGTTTAATACGTGACTGAGGTCAGACGATGAACTTAAACGTTTGTTTATGTAATTTAAGTCTAGACTAATGTCTATCTGTGATTTGACCTACATCTGAACTTTGAAGAAATTTCCATCGTAAGTGGAGACTTTTCAAATGTTCAGTGTAAGTGCAATTTGTTTTTTTAATCGACTTAAAAAAAGGGAATCTAAATTTGACTGCACGTTTTTCACGGATACTTATGTTACGCTACGTTCTTACTAATTTTGAAAGATTTCACTCAAGTATTTCTTCTATACTAATAAAGGTTAAGATTAAAGTGTGTTTTTGTAGAACAAAACTTTCAATTTTTGTAATACATACATATTTATTAATTATCTTTGTTTATTAATTTTTTTTTAATTTTCATTACAATTTAAGAAAACAGTATTATATTAACCACTACCACTTGATTAAAAAAAAAACGTTTAGCTAATAGAAAGAGCTCTATTAGCTAAACAGTTTTTTTTATATATAAGTGTGGTCCCTGTTGTATAGTCAGCAACATAAGTTCAACTTTTAGTTTATTAACACCGCTTTATTCTTATGAGCATTTATACCATGTTTTTATGAGTATTTTTTAAATAATTATTTAAAAAATGAGTTTCTATTGGTCTAAAATATCAATCATAGAGAAATTGTTTTTATTAACCGTCTTGAAAAAGAAGGAGGTTTTAAATTTGATTGTAGATTTTTATGTTTGTTACCTCATAATTCTGTCCATTTTTTTTTGATGGGTGAAAATGGTATGGTAACCCCGCCCGCGCTAACGGGATACGCTGGCGGAGCACCAGTGAACGGTGATAGATGAGAATGAAAACAGGTCAGTTAGCCCATCATGATGAATTCATTAGGAATTAACCATGATAGTTTCCAAGGAGAACCGCGAGGAGGTCGACCTGGTTGGGTATATTGCTAGCAATGGGATTCTCAGTCTCCATTACTAACAATCCCTTTCCCCCCAATTCTGTCAGTTGTAAATAGATTTGGAAAATTATTTTACAATCAGTAAGTATATTCTTTCAGTATATTCTCATAAACATTTTATCTAAATCGGTTAAGTAGTATAGTTTTTAAATTAAAATAACTGGTTTTACAATAATTGAGGTTTTTTTTTTACGGTACATAATTTAATTATACAACTTAGAATGGCAAACAAGCTGATGATCCACCTGAATTAAATTATTTTTTATCTTGCTATTTATTATGATGAAATTTCAAAATATCATTGCGAATTTTAATTCATAATTTATGTAACTTTTTGTTGTTGTCAATAAATGTTTTCTTTCCTCTTCTTTCTTTCTAAATGTGTAAATTTCTCTAATTATATTGTAAATTTGACAGGTGAAATGATATTGATGTTGCCAGGTAAACCATTTTAAGTCGCTAAAGAATAATTAATATGGCAAAATACAGAAACACTTTCATAACGCCATAAACGTTCAAAATTAGCTAAATATGCGCAACGGTGTGTAGAAGTTTTAGAAATCTGAATATACAAATTACTTTTAATGCTGACCGTACAAAATAAACGAGACATGAGCAAACAGTTCGAACAAAATTGTTTGAACACCCGGAAAGTCAGTGTGGTGCGGTCATTTGGCCTGATAACACATTATTTCTTGGTCTCTATGGTACGTGGGGTAACAATATCGTGTCGATATGGATAATGGGAAGAATGGTTGTTCATTTTTGGACAAGGTCCTGAATATTGTAAAGCAGGAAAGAGCTTCTAATACGCCGTTAATTCGATTCAAGCATCCTAAGGATTTGGAGGTAAGTATACATTTTTTGTTGTATTTTTTATTATCTTATTTGTTGATCTTGGTGGTATAGCGGTTGAGTACATTTCTTCATCTTCCAGTGGTCGCTGGTTCGATCTCCGTATAATACAAATGTTTATAATCATGTTTATAGAATTGTTTGTATTAGTATGGGGGATTTTTATGTATGTATATGTATTTACTAAATGTATTTAAGTATTTTTATCGGTTGTTTGGTAATCATAGTATAAGTTCTGCTTAGTTTAAAACTAGACGATGCAGTGTTATATGTCTAGTAGTATTTATTATTATTATAATTTTTTTTCAAAAGTTTTTGATACAGTGATTTAGAGATAAAATGTTATTTTATAATGAAATAGTGTTTAATATAAAATATATATTATTTTATTATATAATATAAATAAAACACTGAACAATTAATTAAATAATTGTCGATTTTCAATTGTACTATATTAACTTTGTTTGTACTGTGTTAGTAGAGTCACCCAGCAAAGTATTACCTATCTAGAAATTTGAGACTAGAAATTTGCAACAAAATAAAAATAAAGCATTTTTAGAATTGATGTTTGTTTGTTATGAGTACATTCATTTTGAGGACTATTTTAGTTAAACTGAATTTTTTTTTTATAATTGACTATAATTTTTATAATAAATTTCTGTGATATTAATAATCGACTTAAAAATCAGGATAAATTAATTTTAGCAGAATTAAATAAAAGTATCTCATAAGTAATTCAAAGTGCCTTGTTTAATACTTTTGCGGCCTATTTTAACTCAACTGCAACTTAATCTTTCAACTGCACTCAATTTTGCCTTATCTCATTTTTGCATTACTTAATGACAGTGGTCATTATAGTTTTACGTGGAATTCTTAAATTTGAACGTCAATGAGTAACCGCTCATTAACGTTAGAATTTTCAGAATTCTTGTCTATAAAACAATGATATTGGCTTGTACTGCAATTAAAAAATAATCTTAACTATTTACAGGCAATTCTAGACTTAGATGTAACGATAGGAGTAGATGACGAGAAATTGGAACAATGCGTTCGTGAGGTACTGAAGTACAGCGTGAAGACGGACAAAAGTATCTTCAGGAACCAGCTGTACGGCGGTACAGATCCATACGGACTATCTGGCGCGTGGATAGCGGAAGCATTTAATACCAGCCAGTAAGAACTAACTGTTTTCAAATTTAATCTACTTAACATATTGTAATAGTTAATCACTTGAAACCATTTTTATATTGTATTTTTTTTTTAATATTTTTATGCCCTTTAATGAATGAATGAATGAATATTTATTTGCAAGAAATATGGTAAATATACAGATAGATAAAATAATATTAAGTCCACATATTTCGCCATAATTATTAGGTATGCAAAATTTTAAATACTTAAATATTAAATTAACAATTCTTATAACAAAACAATATGTCAATTACAATTTCATGTCAATTAATGTACTTCATCTCATTTGATATTACTACGTATTAGTAGGTCTGTGATTAGTGTCAACAACATAACAAGTAATTTACATACATGCATAGTCCTTTGTCGAATAAATCATTAGTAGTTTGTAGATGAACACCTAAAATTCAAGTATTATTCTTAATTTTGTTACGCAACTTAGAATAGCAAACAAGCTGACGGCCCACCAGATAGAATGTGGTAACAGTCGCCTATAGACATGAACAGAACAGTAGCCTATGGACGTAACAGATTCGATTTATTATTATTGAACGGTGATTGGAATTTCTTGACTTTCGCGACCCTCCGGCTATGTATTTAGGTCATATTACATTGTAACTAATTAGCATCCGAAGTACCTACAAACTGGACTTTATTTAGTATTCAGTCTGAGTAGGTGTCCACTCTTAAGTACTAATGGTGGTTATAATGTTTGTAGTAAGTATTTCGATAGATTTATTATCATAGATGTAATTATTTTAATCTATATATTTTTTTTATATCAGTCGATAAAGGTCTATTGCTGTACATAGGTTTTTTTTAATGGATAAAAATGGCATGGTAATCCCGCCTGTGCTATCCTATACACTGGCGGGGCACCAGTGAGAGGTGATAGGTGAGGATGAAAAGGCATGTCAATTAGTCTATCGTGATGAATTCAACGATAAATTAGTCACGATAATTTCCAGGGGGAACCGCGTGGAGGTCGACCTGATAGGGTATATTGATAGCCATGTGCTCTAACTTTCGCAACAATCCCTTCCTTCCGCTGTACATAGGTCATCCCCATAAGGGGAGTTTTATCAGTTGTCACGTTTGACAGACGTTGCAGGTTTTTTTTAAATTATGGCTCCATCGGGGTCCCGATGATTTTGTTTAGTGCGATATATACTGTAATATATTTGGATTGTATATACATAGTAGAAACGAACATTGATAAATAGGTTGGTTCTATTGTGCAAGATATTTTAAAGCTAATGAAGATAAGATAATTTAGTAGCATCCAGTTTGTCTCGTATTGGTGTAATTTATTACAAAACATTGAAGTAAATACAAACCTTCCATAAAAGGGGGAAAGGGATTGTTAGTAATGGAGATTGAGAATCTCCTTACTAGCAATATACCCAGCCAGGTCGACCTCCACGCGGTTCACCTTAGAAACTATCATGTTTAATTCCTGATGAATTTATCATGATCGGCTAACTGGCCTGTTTTCATCGTCATCTATCATCCCTCACTGGTGTCCTGCCAGCGTATCCCGTTAGCGCAGGCGGAGTTACCATTCCCTTTTCATCCAATAAAAAAAACCTTTTATAAAAAAAAAAAAATTGAACGACACAGAAACCTTATCGAAATCCGTGGCGTGGTTTATAAGAAGTAAGCATAGAAACAACTAGATGACAAAATTAATATGGTTTGGGTCCTTATTATTATTGAAACGATAATTGACTTTAGGTGATTAGATTTTTTTTGTTCATTTCCGCTGCGATTAGAATGCGTGCCGCTGTCAACATTTGAGGATCGTGGAACTTTTATTGATAACAAAGTATCTAGTAGTAAATTATTATTATCTGTAAAAGTTCTACGACCTTCTCCACCATATATTCTATTATACCAATTTTCATCGTCCATTAACTGTCCACTGCTGAACATATGCCTCTCCCATAAGGTCAATAGTTGCCACACTTGACAACCGCAGTTTTTTTTTTAATAGGTGATAATGGAATGGTTACCCCGCCTGTGCTATCGGTATACACTAGCGAGGTACTAGTGATAAATGAGGATGAAGTAGGTCAGTTAGCCCATGGTTACGAATTCAACAAGAATTGTTCACAATGGTTTCCAGGGGAAACCACGTGGAGGTCGACCTAATAGGGCATATTGCTAGCAATTGGGCTGTCAAACTCCATTGCTAACAATCCCTTTCCCCCCTGACAACCGTAGTTAGGGTTTTAGTTGTTTAAGTTATATATGTTTAAGAGGGATACTGTTGCCTATCCCTCCACTATTAAGTCTCTTAGTCGCCTCTTACGACACCTACGGTAAAGGAAGGTGTAGCTTATTCTATACCGGGACCATACAGCATGCATTAAGAGTAACAGCACTTGATCCTCAAATGCTGGCAGTCACACGCATACTAATGGTAGCGAAATTAAATCAATAAATATAATTCTAATCAACTAACCAGTGATATGGACTTCCGCAAAATAACATCTAGTTTCAGTAAAATATTTAATAATTGTCGTTCCTAGTTTTTTGTAAAACAAATTCACAGAAGTTAATTTTATTTACTCGGGCAGGTAAAATTTGTATTATTTTTCAAATGTCTATATATCTACACGCCTATAGAATGTAAATTAGCAATATATATCGCATTCGCCTCAAAATATTATAACAAAATAAATTAATTTCTTTTATTTGATTGAAATATTTAGTCTATATATATATATATATATATATATATATATATATATATATATATATATATATATTTCATATTCTAGATACACTTTCGAAGTGGCACCAGCGTTTACCCTTATAGAGTTGAAGATGTTACGTCATATACTCAATTTGGTGGGTATTCCTAATGGAGATGGCATATTTAGCCCTGGAGGCAGTCTGTCAATGCTTTACGGCCTCGTAGCTGCCAGGTACAAAGCATTCCCAGAGGTCAAAATGAAAGGAATGAGAGCTTTACCAGAAGTAGTGGTGTTTACTTCAGAAGATGTAAGTAAATAAAATATTATTATGTATTTTAAAATAATAAATGCAAAAGATTGAATGAATGAATGAATGAGTATACTTTATTTGCATTATACAATATAGGAATTCAACAAGGCAATTTACAAACACAACGATACAAGTGTATAAGTACAGTAAGGTGGTCTTATTGCTGAGAGCAATCTTTTCAAGATTGTAAGGATGGGTGGATGGATGGATGTTTATTACTCTTTGACGCAAAAACTACTGAATGGATTTGAATGAAATTGTACAGCTTATATTAAAATAAATAACATTAAAATAATAAAGTTTATTTGCACGTTACAAAATATAATTATCTATTTAAAATTGTAAGTTTGTTTGCCGGTGCAAATCTTCGAAACTATTAAACCAATTTTTTGAGAATTTTGTAGACAGATAACCCTCTCCTTTACGAAGTAATTTATAATAAGTAGTTAATATTTATTTTAACGAACTATTTACATACTATAGTAAGTATATACTTTAATATACATATATAGGTAAGTATGGTCGGCTCGAACGAATAGTTGATTCGATTATAAGAGTTTGCTAATGTCCAATCATAGTACAAATCAAATTTTGCCATTATATAAAAAAGATGGCCCTGTCTATAGCAGGTATGTATACGAGTAAAAGCATTTACTTAATAATGTATAACAAATATAACTTTCGCAGTTAAGAAAAACTAATTCCAACTAAAAGATCATGGATCAAACTGGAGCGGTCACTTAATAATGTGCTGTACTGCCAGCTGCTGTATGTGCTGTATGTGCTGTAATACCAGAGGGAGACTGTACAAAAGTCGATTGCTTGGGTACCTCTGTCCCATTTGTGTTTCAACCGTGAAGCAGTTGTGTTTGCATAACTGTGTTACGTTTGTTTGCCATCATCGCTCGTAAAATTTACACGTTCATAATTTCGTGTCGTCGTCGTTTACAGAGCCACTACTCAATAAAGAAAGCTGCTCACTGGCTCGGATTTGGCACTGAAAGTGTGAAAGTGGTCAAAACTAATGAAAATGGTCAAATGGTGGTTAAAGACCTTGAAGAAATGATTCTGATGGAGATAAACTCAGGCAGATATCCTTTATTTGTGAATGCTACCGCCGGGACGACTGTACTGGGAGCTATAGACAATCTGGAGATCGTTGCAGACATTTGCAAGAAGTACGCTGTTTGGATGCATGTTGATGTAAATTACAACTTTTTACTATTCTTTACATACTACCGAAAATTTTACTGTTGAGAATATTTGTATTAGATGTCATGTTTTATTTTATATGGCAAACAACCATATAGTTCGTTTGATTGTAAACGATTACAATTTGTACAAAAGTCGATTACTTGGGTACCTCTGTCCCATTCGTGTTTCTACCGTGAAGCAGTTGTGTTTGCATGGCTGTGTTTCGGTTTGAAGGGATATGGCGTGAATTTACAGAGTACAGAGGAAAAACATCTGAGTGCCCAGGAATGGCAACGCATGGAGGGTATCATGGGCGAAACAGTATACTCTGTTATGTCCATAGTACTGCTCATGTCTATAGGCGACGGTTACCACTTTCCATCAGGTGGGTCGTCAGTTTGTTTGCCATTCTAAGTTGTATAAAAAAAAAAGCCTATTGACGCCTGTAACGCTAGGGATGTCACGTGCACGTTGCCGACCTTGAAGAAACCTTAATATACCCTTTTTGAAAAACCCCATACTGTAGTCTCTTAAGAAAACCTCGGCAGGGAACTCATTCCACAGCCTGAGCGTTCGTAGGGGAAAATTTCTTTGAAACCGCACTGTACGTGACTATTTATTTAGTATTTAAATGAGGATTAATTAATCCACTTTATGATTCATCTGTATAACAAATTTCATTCAAACCAGTTCAGATGTTTGATGTATTATAATAATATGATGTTTGTAATAATATATTATTTTTTATTTACAAAATTAATAATAATTTATTTTTTGTGGTTTTATTTGAATAGGCTTGCTGGGGAGGAAGTCTATTGTTGTCACAGAAGCATCGCAGTAAATTGAGAGGCATTGAAAAGTAAGTTTATGCTGGTTTTGTTTGTTTAAATTATCCATCTTCATGGTTTCTTGAAAGGCAGGCACAGGTAGAAAATGACAAAATCTTACATATCTCTCTTACTTTCTTTTCACCCACTTTCACAACACGTCTTATGCATATGCTTTACACGATTCCAAACACTTGACAGACTGGACATTTTTGTTGCACTCGTCAAATTTAATTTAATTTACTGAGAAGTTGTAGAATATTCTTAATAAATAAATAAATATATAGAGAGACATCAGGGTGGTCACAAAGTATTATCAGGTCATTTTCTTTAACATTCTACGTTGCATAATCTAACAGCTTTGTGATGCATGAACATCATTTGCATCTGTTAAGTAATAATTGTCAATATCCATTAAAAAACCCTTTATAAGAGCCTAATCTCTAGTCTCCTCAGAATTACATTAGGAAGTAGATAGATTCTTTTACAATCAAAATATTATTTTTATATAGGGATTTTGATTTTGCAGACAATTTGTAACTAATAATTTGTGCATAGGGAAAGAAAAGCAATGACTGAAGGTATATCAGAGTAAATCAAGGTGTTACCAGCAGTAAAAGAATCATATTAATTGCAATATATTTCCAAACTTTCAGATTCATAACAATAGCAGCAAAATAATAATAATAGTAGTTGTGTTTACATGGCTGTGTTTCGGTTTGAAGGGTGGGATATAGCGTGAATTTACTGGATACAGAGGAATAACACCTGAGTCCTCAGGAATGGCAACGCATGAGGGTTATCATGGGCGAAACAATATACTCTATTATGTCCATGATACTGCTCATGTCTATAGGCGACGGTTACTACTTTCCATCAGGTGCGCCGTCAGCTTGTTTGCCATTCTATGTTGTATAAAAAAATAGCAGGAAAATAGAATTAGTAAGATTTAAGTAAACGAATAATCTAATTTTGATATCATGATGGTTTTTCAGAGCTGATTCAATATCATGGAATCCTCACAAGATGACGGGAGCGCCGCTTCAGTGTTCTGTGTTCTTGGTTCGTGAAAAGGGGTTGTTGCACGAAGCCAATTCTGCTGCAGCACAGTATTTGTTCCAGCAAGATAAATTTTATGATGTCTCGTATGATACAGGCGATAAGAGTGTGCAATGTGGAAGAAAAGTAAGTGGTTTAAATAAAAAAAAAATACTGTTTACGTATTGTGCTGTGTGTGTTTCTTATAAGTGTGATACGTATTTCTTTGACGTGATAAGTATCTGTTATCATTTTCATATTTTCATCTCGCTTATTATTTGGAGTCAACGTAATATGTTTTTCTCTTTCATTCTTTTCTATTCGCATTACCGCATTCACTTCCATTCCCACTCACACTTCCCATCTTTCACACAGTGGATCCATGTCTGTTTACATCTTTGTCTGCCCTTATAGCCATCCATATTTATTATCTTTCTTAAAACATGCTCCTTATCCTTGCGCATGACGTGTCTAGACCAGGATGGATAGTTGCTCCTTCTTGTTGTATAAGATTGATTCTCGATAAATTTGTACCTGAATTGTTTTAGCATTTGTGTTGTTTATACAATTAATAACAAGATAAATACCAAAATTGTTAGTTTGCGTACATTGTTATTAAACGTGAGTCAACGCTGTTTTATATTTCAGATAGACGCCTTCAAATTATGGATGATGTGGAAAGCACGTGGGGATTCGGGTCTTTGTCAACTGACTGACCACGTGATGAAAACAGCAGAGTTTTGTATGGAGACTGTTGCCAGAAGGCCAGGGTTTAGGCTGGTCTCCGAAGTGTTGCAGTGCCCTAACGTTTGTTTCTGGTATATTCCAAGGTTTATGAGGGAGAAGGATGAGAATGAAAATTGGTGGGCTTTAATACATAAGGTAGGTATTAATTTACTTACTACCTATTGAGCATTTAATAATTCCCCGTAGCATTGCATGGCATAGCCATATGATATATATATAATGTATTGCCCTGTGGTCCCGGCGTAGAATAGGTCACCCCTTCTTTTCCATGGCTGTCGCAAGAAGCGACTAAAGGAGTTTAATAGGTCGAGGAATGGGCAGTAGCATTCCTCTTAAAACATTACCAAAGCCTAACTGCAATTGCCAATCCGCCTGCGGTGTGGTAACTATTGGCAAAACTCCTCCCAAAAAAATTATATGTATACACATATATACATATAAAATCCAAACTACTCGCCCAAACAAGTAGCAAATGAATGTATTAATAGAATCATTTCGGTGAGGAACATATAATATAAAGAATAGGCCATGGGATATCTCTAGATATCATGGCCTCGCTAGCGATAACGATTCTATCACTAATAATCGTGTCTATTTTGCAATTATAAAAAAATATGAATGGCTGCTACAGAAATAAAATTATGCCACCGGCTCATATACTCGCTTTGTGTTAAGATTATGTTTATATGATTTATTTTATAATAAAATTTTTCTTTTTTGTTATTTTGTAACTCATAAATTCAGGAATTAATTCCGAGTTTCTGATGTTGGAGTTCCATCGTGACAGTTCTGGTTTTCAAATTTGGTCTGATATTCCATGCCCTAAATTTAATGTTACAGCTTCAGAGGCCTTTGTGAACAACGAAACATAAGATGCGATTACCTGTAAGATGATATATCATGATGTAAATATTACGATGCTTGTTCCAGATCACACCGAAAATCAAAGAATTGCTCACAATGTCGTCTCAGCTGATGGTGGCATACTCGCCGCTTCGAAACCACAAGAATTTCTTTCGGCTAGCCTTCACATTTCACCCAAAACTTGAAGAAGCTCATGTATTAGATATGTTACTGGCCATAGAAGAATGTGGCGAAAAAGTTACTATGGCCATGTTGTAATAGCATTAAGACCGGGTTTACCTCTTCTGTAGTTAGACTTTAAAATATTTGTTTATCTATTTATCACCGCGCCATTTTTCTTAGTGTACGCAGAGGCCTCGTCTATCTCTAAGTAAATTAGGAAAAATTGTATAGGATTTTTTCTACAAAATTAGGATTCCTCGTTGTGTAATTCAGAGACTTTTTTATGAGATTAATCTAATTCTAAATGTGTTCTATCTAACGACCAAAAGTGTTTGTAAAGGAGCATTTCTAAATATTGGTAAAGAAAGAACCTACACTCCCTGCGTAGGTACTTTTTAATATCCATTTCGTAAACAATTTCAAGAATTACAACGCAATTTCTGTCCTCAGAAACCATAACAAAGATATTAAAATGTTAACATATTATTAATATGTACCTAAAAGATACAACAAAGGTCTTGTATGAGTATATAAATACATATTTTTGTTTTGCTATTTTTTTTAAATATAAAAATTGATTTATACGATGATTTTTATATACACTTTATTTTAAAGTACCCTGATGATGTATATCATTGATCGAAATATTAACGACATGCCCATTGATTTTTATTTTATTCTTAGTTAATTTAACTAAATTGATATATATTATAAAGAGGATAGCTTTGATTTGTTTGTAAGGGATAAACCCAAAAAATACTCATAGTAACATGAACTATATTTAATTAAAAAATATTGTTTTTTCTTATATCGCAAAGGTAGTAAACAAGCATACAGCTCGTGTGATGGTATACGATCACTGTGTAGCCTATGGACTCATGCAACACTAGTAGTATTACGTGCGCGTTGCCGACCCTGAAAAAACTTTAATATTCCCTTTTTGAAGAACCATACCATACTGTAATCTCTAGAAAAAGCTGTGGCAGGGAGCTCATGTTCAGCAGTAGACAGTTAATGGCTGATATAATGATAATGATGTATCGACTAGAAACTGGGCTGCAACTATTGGGACTAACGCAATTTTTCTTTTCGAGACGGAGAATAATAAGATTATAATCATGTTATGGTTACATATACGAGAATGCTGTCATGAATCTGTTGAATTTAAAGGGAAAGTGAAAAGAAAGTCATGTTCCTGATTTAAAAATAAATTTGCTTTCAGCTCTATAACATTGTGAATATCGAAATCATAGTAAATGTTGCGTATCCTTAAAATCGGACGGTCTCCACTATCCAGGATAAGTACTTCTCGACGCGAGTGTAAATTCCAGGATGGTTGGGCTCTCCGCAGCGTATTCCCCACGACACCACTCCCACTACGATCCACCGTCCGCTCGGAAGCTGGTGCATAAGAGGGCCTCCGCTGTCACCCTGACATACAATAGTAAATAAATTATACGTTTGCTGCACAATTATATTACTTGCCTTATTCTTAAAGTAGTAAACTCTGTTAAAACTGGGAAATCATATAACGTAGATTTTGTGGCATTTAACCTACAATACTAAGATCCGATGGGGAAGAAAGGTTCTTAAGTAGCGACCCAGTACGGGCGACCACAGTGTAGGACCACTCCACACTAGATTGAGTGACGACCTCAAATGCATTGCAGCGAGTCAATGGATGCGGATGGCTCACAACTGTTTCTATAATAAGGTAGTCTATGGGGGAGGCTTGTGTCTAGCAGTAGACGGATAATAGCTGAAATGATGATGATGACTCAGATCCAAGCTAATTTAGAATCTAAATCGCTTGAAGGGAAATCAAATCTAATACTGAGGTTTGATATATATATATATATATATATATATATATATATATATATATATATATGTTATTTGTTACCTTTATTTTTTGATTGATCGCATCCGTTTAAGCACAGCGCTAATTTGACATTTAACAGACTATTTCATTATAATTAACAGAATAATTTACAATATACTTTAAATACGAGTATAACGAATTTAGTACCTGACAAGCGTCCTTTCCGCCATCATAGCCCCCAGCACATATGCTCTCTTCAAAGACGGAATCTACAAATGCGTCGATACACCTCTGCTGATCCCACACGGGTACTGCTACTTCCATTAGTACATGGCTGTGTGGGCCACCGTAAAACTGCGTTCCCCATCCTAGACATAAGAGAAAGAAGAAGATGTAGAAAAAGTGTAAGAAAACCCAATAGATTAGCGGTTAGGCTTAAAAAATTAGGACAATGAACGAGATAAAGCACTTTTAAGTACGTGAAGGACATTGATTCAACCTTAAGCCCCCCTCTGATTTGAATGTTATGTAATAGGTAGTAAGTAATAAGAATGGTAATCAAATTTACGGTTCACCTAATGGTCGCAGCCACTACATTGTCTGCAGTCTATAATTGCTTATAACCCTTGAGGTATCACTCATGCATTGTCGTCTTTCATAGCATATAGATGTTATCTTTGAAACCGGAGTACGGTGAGGCGGTGAGGTATTGTCAATAATGAGTATTGATGACCCCATTGCTAGTAATATAACCTATCAGGTTGATCTCAACGTGATACCCCCTGGAAACCATAGTCATTAATTGCCTGACCTGCCTTCATTGTCTTCTGTTGTCCCTTAGTACGGACACCACTGCCAGTGTAAATCTATAGCACAGGTAGGGTTACCATTTAATTTTTATCCTATTAAAAATACTGGAAACCAGTATACAAGCAATGAGACGACTTTGTTTAGACTTCCTTTTTTACATATTTTTAGCTTCTGTTGTTTAGTTTTGTGACCGTAAATAACTAATTATAAAGTAATCCTCACCAATAATGACAGCCGTTTTATTCGTCAATTTCAAGCCTACGGGCGGGAGACATATCGGCCATACGTAAGTATTGAACACTGCGGGCCTGTGGAGCGTTAGGATGGCGATATCATGGTGGTAGCTGGGCAGCTCGAAGTCAACGTGTTGGTGGATCTCGGTTACACGGAAGTTGTACGACCGGGAGTCGTTATTCCGATTGAAGTCATACTCGCCGAGGCGTACGCGCAGATCTTCTGCTTTCCATCTGTAGCAATGTATAAAAAATTATAGAAGATTGTTAAAAAATATAAGTTTCCACAATATGAGAAAGTTCTATATACTGCATAACTATAATCTGTTCCGTATTAACAGTAATCATATCATATTTTAAGAATGACAGTTAGTAAATAAATTAACTTATATGTAAAACAAACTATGTGTGAACATGTTAGTTGAACTATTGTTAATAGTATAAAAATACCTTCTAGTACAATGAGCAGCTGTGAGAATATGTCGATCGGTGATGAGTACACCTCCGCAGTACTGCTCGAAGCCTTCTGGGGTGATAGATGCCATCCAGGGCCATTCGCGAGGGTTCGCCGGTTGCGCGCCAAACAAACGGCCGTGAGGTCTTGTACTGAGACCACAACCTATAAAAAATATATAATGTTATGATTTTATGGTAATTTATTGTAAAAGGCAACTAAGGGAACTTGATGATCGAGGGATGGGCAGCAGCGTTCGTCTTAAAACATCACTAAAACCTAACTGCGCTTGTTAACCTGTCTGCCAAGCGTGGCTACTGTTGACGAAAAAATAGATAACGGTTACATACGATATCATTTACAAAATAGTATAAAAATAGAAAAAATATATTCTATTTAGATTATAATAAATAAAATTTTGTGCATTAAATTTTATATCTAACTTGGATTTTCCAACAAATTGACGGTCCACTTGGTGGAAAGTGGGTAATTGTCATCTATTAGTGTGACAGCACTACACACACTATGCAATAAATTTAAATATGCATTTACTATTGTTTCATACATACCCCTGTTTTCGTCTCGCGTTATTCTGTTTAAGAGATCATTGGATTCTTCGAGAGGCGCAGTTGCTGGTAAATCTCCAGCAAGACCTTCTGGTCCCTCTATGTCTGGACAACATACACCTATGTTACTGTAAAAGAAATGTGCTCTAACAATATCGATGTTCTAGTGATGACCACATTGCCTTACGTAAGTGAGGTCGCGGGTTCAATATTTGTTCGCGCCCATTTAGAAAACAAACCTTTTTGAATTGGCTCGTGTTTGAATGTTTTGCCTTGTGATTGCAGATGTTTGTTACTTGGCTCCTCATAATATAGGCTATCTAAGCTAAGGACCAGGCGTTTAATGCGACTGTCTGAATGCTATTACTTTTGGCTTAGGCTTATTTTCAATGGAATTCTTTCTTTAGTTACTCATAACAAAGTACCACAATAAGTATAAGAATCATCAGGCAATAAAAAGGGCTCAGAGATACGGAGGTATGACTTGAAACTTTATGTTTTTTGAGACCGCTTTTTGCCTTTTGTAAAATTCTGTATTCTATTCATCTGATCTGATTTCTAATTATTATTATATATTTTCATATGTAAGATGTAAAAAGTTAAATAAATACATTTGTATAAACAATCTATACTCACGTTTGTTCAATAAGACATAGGTACTGCGTGAACTTGAGTATATTTTGTTTGAAGTCGTCCTGTACGCAATAGTGCAGATGTCTACAATGACCTCCTCTGCCATTTGGCAATACACATTCTTGGTATGCTATATTCGGCTAGAAAATAATATTGCATTATGTATAAACATATCATGATAGACAGAACTTCTTCCTATACCAACTTTCTCACAGGAGAAAGTTCGGGTTCACACGCAGACTATTGTAGCGACATTGCAAGCTTTAGGTAGGTAATAGCGATCAGAAATACTTCGCCTACACAGACAGACAGACAAGTCTTGTACAATGGGACCACAGAGTACATTCATATTTACTGACATTGTCGTTGATATTTTGTCATTTGTCACAAGGTTATCTATATTAAGCGCTCAATTAAATTAATCCTTATTAATGTTATAAATGAGATAGTGAGTTTATTTGTTTGTTATTTCTTAGCACCTTGGCAGCTTAACTAGATTCTGTGAATTTGATATAAACGATGAATAATATAGGCTACCTATTCCGATTTCTCGACAAAATTGCAGGTAGAAGCTAGTAAAAAATTATTAAAATAACTTTTAGTAGTATTATTCGAATAATGATTTCATTTTATTCAATGAGTTTCATACAAAAACTTTTTTCTTAGTTGTCGTAAATTGGTATTTAGGTATAAATCTTGGGTGGTTGTATAAAATTTAATGGCGCCGTTAGGTCGCCATGCAAAGTGCATGCAATCATTGATTGCCTACAGCGAAAACGTAATTCAATTAGAGATTGCCCAACTTATAGTACTATTGAGAATCCGATGTCTAAGTAAACTTTCAGTTAATGTCTTTTTACACAATATAAAAGCTATTAAATCCATAGTAAATAATAGGAACTAATATCCAATATATTATTTCAAAATAAATACTTAAAGAGATAGGTTATATTAACTAACTAAAAACTATTTTTGTATTTTCAATAAATTTCCTGTCGATTTACTATTAATACTTTGATCAGCATAGTATAATTGACTTTTTGTTTGGGAAATCCCACAAGTATTGTGAGGTTGATTCTAGTGATACTGTATATAAATATAGGAACAATAGACAAAAAACTCAATTATGAAAAGATAAGACAGAAAGCGTTTAAAATAATCAAATTATTATTATTATTAGGACGACTCCATTACAAATGCACTCAATCCATTACTTCCAATCGCCTTAAGCCATGAGCCAAGGTTTTATTTATTATTTTTTATTGTATTATTATAAATCCGTCACAGTTTCAACAGAATATAAGTATGATTGTTTTCCATAAAAGTAATATTTGTTATTCCTGCAATAACTTTAAATAAATTACTTATGTAATTCTATTGATATTGTAAAGATACAATTTAATTATTAAATTCTTTATGGCTACTCGTTAAAGACTCAGTCCCTCAAAACTAAAAAAGTAGAGTTGGGTAATATCCGATATCTATATATTGAGTTCTTCTGAACATTGTAGTCTAGTGTTATTTAATTCATTATAATTGTTACTTCATTTTCACGCATTGTATAACTATGTTAAAGTAAATATTGTGAATACCTATAATAGGCATGTGCATTAATATTGTATTACATTTAATGTTTGTTATAATGCAATATGCTGTTGGTGTTCCTTTAAATAAATAAAAAAAACATTGATGACCATCAGTCGTATATCTATATTCATTATGAGCGGCTTCTTCTATCTGATATTATATATTAGATAACCGATATCTAATATATCTTTTATTACGACAATATATGTGTAGATACTGTATTTACAATATATAGATATTGCTAGATATTGTCCACCCTTAAAGAGGATTGAACTTACTATCTTCTTAGCTTTGATGAGGAATACTTATTTAAAGTTGTTTTTAGATATTTTTCGACTCATTACCTGACTTTCATTTAGTTGAACAAACCGCTTTGTCCTTCCGCTGCCGATGTGCATACCACCTTTGGAGATCACATCTTGCCATGCTGGATCAGTGAGCTCTGCTGTAATATGAAAACCATAGGAGTGAAATAACATCTGTTGACTATTGAGGAGTTTCTGCTATCGTCCTTCTGCTACTGGCAAATTTTTACATAGCTAGAGATCAGGTGCAGAAGACATTCTGGATATTAAAGCAGCCTTTATACGAAGTAATAATAATAATCTATCATCATCATGTCAGTGGTTATTTATTTACTGTTGAATATGAGCTTCCCCATAGACTGCCATGAGGAAGGGTCCTGAGCTGCACGCGTGCACTGACTCCTTGCAATGCATTTGGGGTTTTTTTTTTATGGGTGAAAATGGTATGGAAGCCCCGCCTGCGCTAACGGGATACGCTGGCGGAGCACCAGTGAAGGGTGATAGATGAGAATGAAAACAGGCCAGTTAGCCCATCATGACGAATTCATCAGGAATTAACCATGATAGTTTCCAGGGGGAACCGCAAAGAGGTTGACCTGGTTGGGTATATTGCTAGCAATGGGATTCTCAGTCTCCATTACTAACAATCCCTTTCCCCCCAATGTATTTGGGGTTGTTACTCCATCTAGTGAGAGGTTGTCTTACACTGCGTTTTCCTGTACAGGGTCATTGTTCAAGAGTAACCTATGTACTTGCATAAAACTATTTCGAAAGTACCACCTGTAATCTTTTGTCAAATTTTCATTTTTTGGATTTAAATACTTTCTGTGTAGTAATATTGTATCGATAATTAGTCAAGTTATTTAAGCTTTAAGAGTACTAAGCTCAATTTAGCTAAATTTTTATAAAATATTTGACAATTAAAGTATATTCCGTTACTGTCTTCTATTTCACTTTGATAAGGAAAAATAAAAAACACATTGAAATATCACTTTACTTATAGTGGTTATAAAAAAAATATGTGTTTCGGTTTTAAGGCAGTGAATTTACAGGGTATAGAGGAATAAGACCTGAGTTCTCAGGAATGACAACGCGTGGGGTATATTATAGGCGAAACAGTGTACTGTGTTATGTTCATGGTACTGCTCATATCTATAGGCGACGGTTACCACTTTCCACCAGATGGACCATCAGCTTGTTTGCCATTCTAAGTTGTATAAAAAAAATATTGAAATAATTTTTTTATTCTTTAACTACCCAAAAGTTTATATACTTCACACCAATGATAATATGATAAAAACGTATTTTTTTAATTTGGGAGATATATAAGCTATATTAAATCCTATATTATAAATCTGTTATATTTACTTACATCTGTAATCTGTACCCTCAACTCCTAACACAAATATAGTGACTACGACGACAAGCAACATTGTAGGCTCACTGCAAATATAATGTGAAATGATTTGTGTGTGCACTGGGCCTATTTGGGACATGACGGATGTTCCGATAATAATAATCCACAGGATGTTTTGCGTTGATAGCGAAAAAATGTGGCAAAAATATTTGAAACAATAAATTTAATATAGGCAGGATATATTGAGAGGCAGGACATAACTGATTACTTCTCTCGGTGACTAGAGATGGTCTGTACCTTTCGAGCTATTGCAGGTATCACTGACACGTTGCCTGTCCTTATGACAAAGATCTTGAGTCATACGTAGTACCCACCTAATAATCTCTATCCTCAATATTCGTAATTCCTAATATAGAATCGAAAGGTCTGTTCCATCAAATTGTGTAATAAGGTGTGTAGGCACGCAGAACTTTATGTATTGTTCCTAAGCCGTAGATTGTGGTTGATAAACTACGATTGTATACAGTAGAAAATTTATGGTACTTATCTCATATTTCATGATCACTTGCCTTGCCTAACTTGCACTGCCTTCGTCGTGTAACCTGTGTTCAAAACTATCTCGCAACTGTTGACCATAATCATCAAACGAATGTAAATTATAATTATATAGCTTTGGGGCGAAGTGCAAATAATGACAAAATTATGCAAATACCTACCTATATCGGCTCTAAATCTAAACGTTTGTAGGCAGAGACGTGTTCTTTTACAATACTGTAATTACAATCAAAAACTGTTCAGAATAACATTCACAGTATTATCTAATTAGCTTGTTATTCGCTGCTTTGCCACTATGAATTAGGATAAAATATCCTATATATTTATCCAGAATATGGTTTCACTATATACTCGTATTACATTTAATTTAATCAAACATCAAAAGAACATTACACACTTTAACATTTATAATATTATCTAATAAGTTTAATATTATCTTTGTTCATAAGAATTAGAATGAGCGTTCCAAGTGGTTAATACAAGTGATAGTTCATCTGTATACTAAATTTCATTCAAATATGTTCAGCCGTTTAGACATAATTGTATATTAACAAATATTTAAATATCTTCATTAAATTATCAAATTATATTGCTAACTGTACAAGTACAATCTTTCACATTTAACATTATAAATAATATTTATCAGTAGTAGAAGTTGCTAAGACTGTATTTGTCTGCAATTTGATGTTTTGTTTTATAACCGTTGTTGTAATATAAAAAGTGTATTGTTGTAATATAGCTGTTTTCTGCCCACATACATCAGTAAATAAAGTATCCTGTACTTACTTAGGATATAACCTATTCGTGTACCAATTTTCATTTAAATCTGATGAGCCATTTAGACGTGATTCAGCAACAGAGATACAAGCATCCAAACATTTTTACAAGCTTTTACATTTATAATATAAACTACATTCTAGTGTGATTTTTTTTTTATGAATGATAATGTAATAGTAACCTGCGCTAACAGTATATACTGGCGGGGTACCAGTGAGGGATGATAGGTGAGAATGAAAAGGCACATCAATTAGTCTATTGTATTAAATACATATTGTATTCAGGATGATAGTTTTCAGAAGGGACCACGTGGAGGTCGACCTGGCAGGGTATATTGCCAGCCCCCCTCTCCGTAGTGTGACATGTCCAGGAGCTGCTTTTTCTAGCAAATAAGAAGATTCTTTAAAATAGTTTTTTTTTTGCTTGTTCATTCATTCCGTTGAGGGAATAGCCAAAGTTATAAATTTACAGAAGAATGAATATGCCCCAAAGTTTTCATTAATCCGCTATACGGACATACGGAAGAGGCTTGATTGAGTTAGACACATTTCAGATAATCGATAACACGGTCTGACTAATCTCTCAGTTACGTGAACACTTGAGCTGACGATAAGAGAAGGATTTCTGGAATGCTGACGTTGATAATTTCACGTCTCTTCATTTCATCTAGTTAATTAGTTGTTATTTTTCAATGCATAATTGTAATACCTGCCTAAGCAATATTTATGTACGGGTTAGATAAAGTCTGGATTTGGGATTAGAATTTTAGTAGAAATAATAAAGTCTTCATGTCGGTCGTTAATTGTCCAGTGCTGGACATAAACTTTACCAGAGGGAGACTTTGTACAAAAGTCGATTGCTTGGGTACCTCTGTCCCATTCGTGTTTCTACCGTGAAGCAGTAGTGTTTGCATGGCTGTGTTTCGGTTTGAAGGGTGGGATATGGCGTGAATTTACTGGGTACAGAGGAATAACACCTGAGTCCTCAGGAATGGCAACGCATGGGGGGTATCATGGGCGAAACTGTATACTCTGTTATGTCTATGGTACTGCTCATGTCTATAGGCGACGGTTACCACTTTCCATCAGGTGGACCGTCAGCTTATTTGCCATTCTATGTTGTATAAAAATAAAAAATAAAATAAATAAACTTCTTATTGGGAGTTTTGCTAGTAGTTACCACATTTGGTAAACGTGTTGGAAACCACAGTTAAGCTTTGGATGTTTTAAGAGGGACGCTGTTGCCCATCCGTTGTCCATTTAGTTTCCTTAATCGAGTCTTAGGGCATTCATGGTAAATAAAATATATAAATAAATGGAATGTATTCATTTATTAAATTGAATTTCTTTTAGACATGTTTGTTTGTAATCGGAGAACTATAACTTCTAGTTATTTGGACGTTACATTCTTCAATAAAATATAAATAAATATTTATTAATAAAAAGGAAAAATTTAATGTTAAACCGTAATATGAATTGCGAAAACCTTAAGTAGTAAACCAAACAGATGCTTATTTTTAATAATTTGTAATAGCATTTCCATGTAATACTTGGCTTTGGTAAAGAGCGCACTGCCGTGCACGCATAGCGTCAGCCTTGATGTGTCAAATGTACATTATGGCTACATTCCACGATGCGATTGTTTAGACTTCAGACTCCATATGCAAATGTTTTGACTATTAACAATAATATATACAGTACTAGTAACCCGCCCCGACTTCGCACGGCAAAGTCCATTAATTTTAATCCAGTTCTAAAGGTATAGTCGTCAAAGGTTCAGCCATGAAAATCGATTTTGGCGACTTTATTATAAAACATTGAAATTATTTATTTACATAAAAGCTTCATTAAGATGTAAATACGAAATTTTCGTAAAAAATATCTAAATGGCAGTGAAACTCGTATTAAAATTCGTTGCATTTATTCATTTTAACTGCGGAAGAAGCAAGTGGAGAAACAGACAGACAGATTGTTTTATATTATTTAGAGGTATGTTTGCGTATATACTTACTACATTAATAATTTTATAGGTAGGTGTAGCATAAAGATTTATTAAATTATTAATTTATGCCAGACGAGAAATTACATGAGTGTTATACATATATACGTAGGCAAACGGTGCGCTTATGTAAATAATTACGTGAATATAATTATAGTAATATCAATGTAAGTTTGTCTGTCTGCTTTTTATGGAAATTTAACAGGAAATTGATTTGTATATGTGATGGCGTGAATTTACAGGGTACAGAGGAATAATATCTGAGTCCTCAGGAATGGCATAGCATGGGAGGTATCATGGGCGAAACAGTATACTCTGTTATATCCATTGCACCGCTCATGTCTATAGGCGACGGTTACCACTTTCCATCAGGTGGGCCGTCAGCTTGTTTGCCATTCTAAATTGTATTAAATATATATATATATATATAGAATTGATGTCAATGAGATGGACTGATCCATCGAAATTTGCTTCATTTCATTAAATACTTATACCTAGCTAATCTCTTTTAAGTAACTTTCAAGGGAAGGTGTTGTTTAATGGCTGAAAATAGAATGGTAACCCCGCCCTATCGGTATACGTTGGCGGGGCACCAATGAAGCCTGATAGGTGAGGATGAAAGCGCGTTAGTTAGCCCACTGTGACGAATTCCAAAAAAATAACCAAGACAGTTTCCAAGGGGAATTGCGTGGAAGTATATTACTAGCAATGGAGCTGTTAGATTCCCATTACTAACATTTTTTTTCCTTCTAAGGAGAAAGTGTTGCGTACATGATTGTATCGTCAATTTTTAACCGATTTTGATAGTTTCTTTTGATTTACTTTCATGTTGGTTCGTATATATTTTTTATGGAGCACTACTCTGCTTGTAGTGAATCAAAATATATTTATACATATAGATGTGATTGTGCGTTATAAATGAAAATATTGTCAATCTTATCAATTACATGAGGAGAAAAAAAAGTAATGTGAGACATTCATGGAAAATAGATGAGTTTTAGTGAGATTTTATCTGACTCCTCCTCTCTTGCGTGCCTAAGTATCTATCTGTATATATTTAGTATTGTGTCATATAAATCTAGTTTGTGTATTACAGAATTATAAATCAGTCTCTCAGAAACGATTGCAGGTGCATACCGACATTATCAAGTTGCTAGATATTGGGTCGTAATTACAATACTTGCAGTATTATGCAGATAAGTGTGGCCGGCGCCGGCGCACAGGATCTACTCCGATTATCCTTGACATTCGATTGATCAATCGATAAACACATTCGCAATATCTACAGTATCTAATTATGTAGTTTACAATGTATTTTTTTAAAGTTGTAAAACATTTTAAGATAGGTGCGAATTCGTGGCTACGTTTGTCTGTCGCAGACAGTCACAGTGTTTATAATAATTGTATAATGATTTCAAAATTAAATCAGTTATAGATATCGTTGACTCACTTTTATTGTAAAATAATCAATAGAATTATTTTTATTGTTAGAGGTTTTAATATCTCAAAATGTGCCAACAGCTAGTCCATGTGGGAAATTTTATCATTAGCTTCATCTAAATATTTTTAAACTGGTTTTATATAGCGATTACCTTTATAATAAAGAAATAGCTTTAGATTATAATTATAAGTTTACAGACATAGACACAGAATATACTGCGCTGTACCAGTACATACCTCATGCATTTTTTTTACAAGAATTAAGGTAAACCAGTACCGATGTCAAATTTCATATTTCTAATTAAACTAAAATATAAATGCTTACCAGCAGAAATGCGAGTAAGACAAAAAATAAAAAAAAAAAACAAAAATTTTTATATTTATCTTTTGCACAAAATC